ACGTCAACAATCCGCCGTACAGTACGAATGGTCAACCGCAGTCCAACACATTCATACTATACAAGGCGTCTGGGATATCATTCACACATAGTACATCCATAAACAAACATAATATAAAATATTCATTCAAAGCAGCGAAAACGTTTAATACAAGTGTTCAAGCCACACTTGGCGTAACATGGGCATACAAGCCATCAATAGTTATTCCAAAAGATAACATCCATGAGCATTAATTTAAATGAGTTTAAAACAGGAACGGAGGGAGCACGAACCACGTCTTCTTCTCCTGAATTCTCTTGGAGCAACGGCGAGGGTAGCAACCTTCAAGTTCTACCTGAAACTGTGAGGTGGCCTCCCCCGTGAAGGGGAGGTCAATACTTGGAAGCATTTGACAAGTACAATGACAACTATACTAAGTATAATCAAAGTTTCAATTTCCAAGACCCTCAATCTAGGATGTTATTATATTATAGGTCATAACCCGTGGTTACCCTCTTTGAAAGTATACTTACTTTATATATAAAGTCAAGTAGTCGCCCGAAGGCCCATGTTTACTTTGAAAACATTTAACCCTTTCCCCGTGACTTCAAGCCACACCCATCTATATTAGTTTACCATGCTAGAGGCTTCCTCTAGTCATGTTTGGTCGTGCTAAAGGCTTACTCTAGTCACTCCACTTGGTGTTAGAGGCTTCCTCTAATCACCTTACATACGTTGTGCTGGAGGCTTCCTCCAGTCACATTACGTTACGCTAGAGGCTTCCTCTAGTCGTCCTACACGAACGCTGGAGGCTTCCTCCAGTCATTCTTCATTGTGCTAGAGGCTTCCTCTAGTCACGATACTAGTTCACTAAGCAAGTTCTATGCCTAGAGTTCCTCTATTATGAGTAGCCTTTGAGGCCTACTCCTACGGCAACTTAGCGTTTACCCATTTCTACCTTAAGACATCTCATTAGACTACTTAAGGTGTACCTCTCTCACAATCCAAGCCCTTAGGATTTGTTCTATTACTTTTCATACTAACATTTCCGACTAGTAAAATCAATACTAATCCATTTGTCTTTAAGCCACCAAGCTCTTTAAATCATAGTTATAAGGCTCATTCCCATGAATTTCCCAATCTATATATGATTTAATCTCAATATCAAAAATATCACTTTTATCCATTCATGATTTCTATACATGAAGTAAAAGTATATTTCATCACAAAAATTCATGGTTTATACATTCATCATATCATCATTCTTACAATGCATAACTATACACCATTTACTCATAAATTTGTATATTATGCATCTTCTATTAATAAACAACAATATTTTCATTAGGCATTATTAATCATAATAATCCATGAAAATCACATTTAATAATCTTAGGTAATCTTATGAAATTAACCCAAGGATTATAAGCAATATAGTCGGTCATCCTCACCTCAATTGAGCTTTAAACTATCCCTTCTTGGTCCAATGGTCAAGACTTTGGTCAAGGCGGATTTGGAACTGATTCCTTGCTCAAATATGGGTGTTAAACAGCCTCTTCAAAGCGCTAGCTCAACCCCTAAACGTTGGTACGAAAACAGCCCCTAGAATGGGTGTTTTCCGGTGAACACGTTTCCTAGTTTTTCCATGATTTGCTCTAGGTTAGTACATAACCTTTACATCAATAAATTAAATCTATAAGCACATATTATACACTTGGATTGGTGTACAATAGCTCCATCAATCGTTCATATCATTTGGAAAAAGAAAGGAAAGGTTTTGGGGTTAACAACTCACTTTAGAAGAGTAGATCCGTTTCTGCGAGGTTGTGTTTTGCTCGGACGATTTGGAAGCCTTCCACTACTCCGATTGATGCAAACCAGACCTTCACGGATTCCTCGTCTTGAGAGCTTTCTTGTGGTATCTCACACGCCTTAATTGGATTGGTATAGATCGAGATATCAACCCAACAGTCTCAGCACTCTCACAGCTCGAGTTTACAGACCACAGCTCACTCCAGCTAGATTTTTTGTATGATAACTCTATCCTCTCAAACAGAGACCACTCAAATATGAAAATATACTTCAAAGGCTATCCAAGGACACCTCATTCACCTTATTTGGTCAAGTATATCTCCCATAATGAGTGGAGACAAACAGCACACCAATTTGTGCGAAAACTGCTCATGGTGGCCCTAAGTTAATGCTAATCATGTCTTGTGAAGCTTCTCTCCAAGCTGGCCGGCCAAGGTAAGTCCTCTCACCCATTTTTATTTGTCTTGCAGGTACTAATACCATGTGGAGTGGTTCCCAATTGATCCCAATCATTTTGGGATCCAAATTATCTACCAATACTTCCAAAAATGGGAAGATGGGTCCTATTGTTTTATCTTTTGTCAAAGATGTCTTTTTGTACTCATCCTAATTTATTTAGAACAAGTCAACTTCCTACATCACATTATTGATCTCCAATATGTGTAGGTTTATCACAATAATTTACTTAATGGATATTATAGAAGAAAAATCCTACTCCCATTATTTAGCTCAATAATGTTAAAGATGAGACTATAGGCATCTGTATTCTTCTCTAAACGTCCTATCACTTATTTACGATAATGTTGGGCTCTTTTATTTACTAATAACTCCCAAATAGTATTTGTATGTCCGACACTAATATACGAGTTCGAACAGTACAATGTTCGATCATTAATTACGTAAAACATTAATCGTTTTACAATTGTTTGGGAATCAGAAATCCAATACATAAAGTTTGAATATTTAGATCAAATTTTCAAGGAAGTTCGGGTGCGGTGTCACAAATGTGTTTTTATTGTCTAAAGATTTATGTGATAAGATTGAAAAACGTATGAATGGATTTTGGTGGAAAGGCAATAAATTTGATCAGAAAGGGATCAGGTGGCGTAGGTGGGAGCTACTATGTCGGCCGAAAAATGAAGGAGGAATGGGCTTTCGCAGAATTAGAGAATTTAATTTGGCTATGTTAGCCAAACAAGGATGGCGGCTTATTACCGAACCAGAAAGCTTAATGAGCAGGGTGCTAAAGGCGAGGTATTTCCCACACTGATTTTTTGAATGCTAAATTGGGAAGCAATTCATCTTTTATTTGGAGAAGTTTTTTTGAGACCCAAGAGATCTTGAGAAATAATATTCGCAGAAGAGTAGGAAATGGTAGAGATGTGCAGGTATGGGCGGATGCATGGCTACAGGGACAGGGGTCGAGACGGATTCAGTCGGCTAGGCCTCCAGGAATCCGAGATATGAATGTAGCGGCTCTGAGGAACCATACGAGCAAGGAATGGAATTGGGAGAAAATTTGCTCTACCTTTGATGTTGTGGATAGGGGTTTAATTTTGAGCATACCTATCAGCAAGGCAGATAGGAGAGACGGCTTTTGGTGGACAGGGGAGAAGCACATAAATTATTCTGTTAAAAGCTGCTACAGGAACCTCACCTATGTGGCACCAAGTGGGGATGCTAATGTTAGGAATTAGGGCTTCGACGAATACACACACAGTCACACACGATTGTAAGATGCGAGATCTAAAGAAAACAAGAATTTAAAGTGGTTCACTGATCAAACTGACCGGCTAGTCCACTGTGCGAACTAGAGAGATTTTATTACTGAGAGAATGTTATTACACTTTCTTGTGATATCTTCTTAAGGTTCACTAATGATCTATTTATAGAGATAGGAAGAGAATTCTAGAGAATGGGCTTTCTTTGGCCCCAAGCATTCTTGCTTCGGCCCCAAGCTACATAGCTTCGGCCCCAAGCTACATAGCTTCGGCCCCAGGTAACCTAGCTTCGGCCTCAAGTAACCTACCTTTGGCCCCAATCTCAGCCCCTTTACCATTTGAGTGGATCAGATCTCCACCACCCAACAACTGACAGTTGGGTTAAATTATGGGCGCAGGAGGTACCGCCTAAATTTAAATATTTTATCTGGCAGGTTTTGGATGGGTCGCTCCCCACAGTGGATAATCTGCAAAAAAAGGGGTTCAAATAACAAAAAATTGTCAGCTTTACGACATGGAGGCCGAGATCTGGGAACACGTTTTCAGGGGCTGTGGTTATGCCCAGGAAGTATGGCAACAAGCGGGGGTGGCTGTGGTTATGCCCAGGAAGTATGGCAACAAGCGGGGGTGACTAGAGCAACCGGGGTATCTCACGTGTAGGGATGGATCAGGCACCAACTCAGGACTGCTACTAATGAGCAACAATGCAAATTTGTTGCTCTCTTATGGGGTATCTGGAAGAGGCGTAACGCTCTTATTTGGAAGGAGGAATGAAAGAGATCGACAGGGGTCATGACTAGTGCTATGAGTATGATTAACAACTGGAAGGAGGCTCAAGGGACATGTCACAAGAAGGGCAGGAAGATTGAAAGCGGTCATAAGCAAGTATGGCGCAGACCGGGGAAGGGTTTTATTAAAATTAATGTTGATGTTGCGGTTGACCCAAGTGGAGATAAACGGGCTTGGGGATGGGTGGCGAGAAATGAGCTGGGAGATTTTATCAGGGCATGAGGTGTCTCAACCAGAGCAGGCTGGTCCCCGGCGGAAATGGAAGCGGTTGGACAGAGAGACACAATACAGGAGGCGATTACAGCTGGATGGCAGAACGTGGAGTTTGAGACGGATGCACACTCGGTCGTCCAAGGTATTCGTCAAGAAAGAGGATTTTCTTACATAGATTTAATTTTGGATGATATTAGAGAAATCCTGTTAACAAAGAGTAGTTATATTGTCTCTTTTTGTAAACGATCTGCGAATCATGTGCTTCATTCATTAGCTAGAGCTCATGTTTTACTCTCAGATCATAGGAGTGTGTTTGATGTTGCTCCGAAGTGTATTGTAAGCCAACTGACTAATGACCTTATTAATTAATACAAGGGCAGCTAGTTGATGATAAAAAAAAATGTTCTTTGCAGCTAAAGCAATTTCACTTTTTGACTCAAACACTAGTAGGTTTGACTTTCGTTGTGTTGTTTACAATGAATGAAATTGGGAGACTGTATTTAACTATTTACTCAAACGAAAAGTGTGTAAGGTGGGGATGAGCTGAATGAGCTACCAGCTGTTTTTGATCACAGTCGATCTCATCTTATTTAGTCTTCTTACACCAAGAAATTGAAAAAAACAAGGAAAAAGACGAATAATCTCTAATTAGAACACAAACATACTAATCCAGCAGCTACTTCAATCGATCTACGAATCCATACATTGGATGGGAATTTGTACGCAGATTATTTCTGGATAAATCTTTGCCTGACAAAATCCTAATTTTTACCCAGGCATGAAATTGACCGCGATCATCATCTTAATAGATGTTGCTAAAGTTTGATCTTTTGAACTTTCTGATGCAGACGGTGAAGTTGGATGAAGAGTTTCCCAATTGATGTGAACTTGGACCTGAAAACCCTAATACATCACTTTTGATTTGACCTCGCAATCAAGTCAAAGATAAACCCCTCTGCTGCTGCTCTGCTGCTACCCCTTTTGACCACGCATTCAAGTCAAAGGTAAAACTCACTGCTGCTACACCTAAGATTTGGTTACAGTGATCTCCAGATCTGAATCAAACTCCTTGAATTGTACAGATCTTGTCGATTAGGTTTTTAATAGCCCTTCAGAAGGATATCTGACTTTTAGTTCCTAGATCCTCTTTACAAAACTGAACAGAAAGGCCCCGAGGGGATTTAGAAAGATATATTGCGATGGTGAAGCTTTACATAATGGGAACTAGGTTAGATTTGGTGATAGGGTTTATTGAGAGAAAGATTTTGCTGAAAATTTGATTCAAAGGAATTTGTAAAAATATAGGAAGCGAGAGAGAGAGAGAGCACTTGAAGTAGTAGTAGGCATCAGTCACGATTTGTCAAAGGAAATAGCAAAGATGCATGCAAGGCATCGTAATCCAGCAACTGCATATAACAGGTCTAGTTCTGCCGGGATGGGTGGTATGGGAGCAGCCTTACCGATTTCACCTGATGGTCCAATGGCGAGTCGTGGAATTTATAATTCTGATTATAAAAACTACAACAATATTATTAATAGTAAACGCAGTGGTTTTGGGCGTAGCCAAGTGAGGCAGTTTGAACCAAGGCAGCCTTCAGTAGAGAAAACTTATATTTTCATGGAAGCTGGTCGAATGGCAGCAGAGTATTTGGTGAGAAAGGGATTGATGCCACCGAGTGCCCTTTCAGGGAAGTTGCCGAATGGCAGCATGAAGAACCAGACCAGTTATAATCAAAGTTTTGTGATTCCAGATGGGGATAATATGAAGTTATCCACAGAGAGTCGAAAGTCAGCTCTTTCTCGTTTGGGGAGAGCTGGCGACAGTGAAGGGCCAGTCGGGAAACCGTACCCCAATGATTATAATAGCTCCATGTCCTCAAAAGGTTATGTAAGAGGAAGGAGAAGACATGGCTTCTATAAGGATTCGGAGCAGGACCAAGAACTAGGTAGAAATGTGGCATTGCCCGATAGAACCAGGGTTTCCACGGACATGGAAGACCATTCCAATGCTTTCACACGGAAACAAGATGAAAATCATGCTGTTATAAATAGTGACAGTAAATTCCAAAATTCCATGGCCAGTGAAAGTGAAATAAATCTTGGAGCTGATGGCATTCAGTGCTTAGCTGAAGAATCAAAGTCCATCCTAAATAAAATGAAGCCTGCAGAAGATATTGAATCTCCAGGCAAAGCGGAGTCAACTGGGAAGTCTGATAAGGATCTAGCTGAGAAGTGTGATAATTTGGAAACCTCAAATCCCGAGGTTGGGGAGATTCAGGATGGTAGCGATGATAATGAAACGGAACCAAATGACATCAAAGATGATATGGATATTGATTTGAGTGCTGGCAAAGATAGTCAAACATACAAGAATGACATTGATCTGCTGAGCCTCTGCAGATTTGAAAACGTTCCCACAAGAATGCGCTCTTCATTGAAAGCTAGAGGTCCAAAGCTCTGTGCTGGTACCATGGCTGAGGAAAATGAAACTCTAGAGAGTGGGTTTCTGGAGGAGGTGGAGGCCCACAGGGATGATATATCTATTCATATTTCCTCTGATGACATTTCTGCAAATCCAAAAACACTAGCTAGCGAAAACATCCAAAGTGGTTCTGAAAATTCAAAACTATCTGCATTCACTGTGATGGAAGAAAACAGCAACGAGGTTTCATGTTTGGCAGACCATCCTTTACTAAAAGAGGAAGGGGAAAATGAGGGAGCACACATGTTTGATACATGTAGCCCTGCAGAAAGAGGCGGAAAAAGACCATTAGAGGATGACATTGACAACATTAATGAGGTAAATAAGAGACCTAGAGAGATGGTTTTGTATGATGAAACAGACACAGGTGTCTTTCAATACTCTAATTCAATGACAAAGCAGCAGAGTTTACATGACCCAAATGAGGTGGCAGCATTGTTGTCACCTGATCATAACAATTTGGTAGATGTGTCCTTGTTTTCAAGTGATGTTCCGACCACTGAGTTTTCCGGAAAGCAACTTCTTCCTGGTTCAATTAAGACCTTTGACCTGAATCACATGGAACCTTCTGATATAGATCACAGTTCTGATGCTCATTCTTTTCTGATGTTCCCGTGCACCAAAGAATATGGAGTACTGACTACACCAGCTGACATTGGATTGTCTGTAAATGAGAATTACAATTTGACTACCAAATACAGTAAATGCAGTTTTGGTGGCAGAGATATAGAGGTGATTGATTTGGAGAAAGATTCTGAGCAGGACAAGCCTTTCAATGATCCACAGAGGTGAGCGTTCTTTTCTGTTACATTCCTTTGAATTCCTTGATCAGCGGCTCCCTTGAAGCTCCATCACACCAAAATGGTAGGATATTTGGGGTTTCTTGCTCCCACCCAACACCAAATATTTTACCTTACAGTGTTTTACATGTTCATGATGCATACTTTTTAGTGTCTTTTCCTTTTTTTTTTGAAGAAGTGTCTTTTCCTTTTTGTTTCAAATAAAATTGGGAATATTCTTCTCCAGTACTCCCTCATTGTCTTTTATATGTCACTTAAGAGATGTTTTTCTCTAATAACGGTCACTTTGTTTACAATGGATATTCTAGTCTTAGACTCCTACTAAACTTCTTCTATCTGTAGTTTTAAAAACATGTTGATTTCTTAGTAATATCTGCGAACACGTAAAACGAAACTAAAAAAATAACTTAATATTAGCTTTGACTTTTGCATTTTTCTGAAGCCTGAATTTATTTATAGAAAATGCTTAAGCATTACTTCCAATTTTGTTAAGTACACAAACTTTTTATTGGAGTGATGAACTCCAGTTTTTCGTTTATGCAAAGGCCTCGACTTTTTTACTAGTAAAAGGCTTCTTTTTATCGTATTTATCTGCGTAGTGTATGAATGCCCTTAATTTGTTTATCGCAAAATTGCAGTTCGGAAATTGGATATATTGCCCAAGACGAATTTTCTTCCAAAGAGGCAAATAACAAAAAAGAGATTGCTGATGCTCAAGATGATTATGGGCTAATGTTGTCAGAATTTTTTGGGGACATACCAAGCTGCTCTCCTGTACCGGGAGATATGAATCCTCTGCATCCCGATTTGGGCCTTCATAATGGAGAGGTATTGCTATTCACTTCTGCAACTCCTCTGTATTGATGATTTGAAGATGGTTTAAAGTTAATTTCTTAGTGTCACCTGCACACACTATTAGGAACTATTGGTTTAAGATTTTTATGCAATAGGCCACCAGTGAGAATGATGAAATTTTTGTTGGTTCTTGCAGGAAATTTCAAGCGACGATGATTCAATATATACTCTCTGGATGAAGTACCGATAAGTATGTTTAGGATTTCAGTTAGGCATTTTATGACATTTGACGTCATTGGTTACTAAGATGTAGCTCTGTTTGAATGAAACAACTGGAGAATGAAAGGTGTCTAATAGTTGCATCTCATTTTAGTTAGTAAAATATCATTTTCATTTTCATTTACCCCAGTGCCGCAAAGGCTCCCACCTACGGTGGGGTAAGGGGGGGTCGGATGTACGCAGTCTTACCCCTGTAATAAAGCATAGAGAGACTGTTTCCGGATGACCCATAGTGGAAATCGCGTCCAAAATTGCATGGACCGACTGCTGCTTCATAACAAAGAAGCGCAGACAGTTTAGTGAACCATTTTGCTTTATTCCATCATATTCTCGAGCCAAAAAATAATGAATCTTTGACTCCATTGCAAATGATGGAAATTTAGTTAGTAAAATATGACTCGTATAAAAACCAGAAAGATATAAGAACCAAGCTTAAAGAGAAACCTCTTTCGGCCACAGGGTTAAGCAAGGTGTCAGATGATATTTTAGTTATGGAGACTTGCTAATGGATAACATATATGTGCTTATGGAATTGGAAACTTGATTGCTACTATCCAGTCTCTTTCATAGCTTGGCAACATGATTTCTTTAATTTGTTAGTTGAAATAGCTTGTCTATATACACACAGGCACACACATGCATTCATCTTTCTGTAATCATTTGCTTACTATGGATAATGTTTTTGGAGTCGTGTTTTCTTTATTGTAATTTATCTAAAAACGTAACAAACTCCCTGCAGGCTTTTAAAAGACTGGCATCAACCACCTCAGGAGTTCAGGAAGCCATTTTGAGTTGCATTCTCTCCAGCTCAAGCTCATGGTATATTTGTAGCAAGAAAAAGCTGATAGTGTAGGCACTTTAAATTCTGCATCTTGAGTAGCGCTGAGCGGTACTACCCTTTGCAACTTTAGCATATCACAACTGGGCATGTAACAGAATGAGACATGATTTTATTGTGTTTTTTTTATAAGACGTAGTTATACACCTCATAAATCTTGGTCAGTGAGCTTGCAAATCTTGATCCGCGAGAAGATCTCGACACTGAATCTGGGGAAAATTAAGTGCTTGGTTTTCGCATGACTGATGCTTGGTTATATTTCAAAGTCAACAGAATGTGCCTATCATTGACATTATCTGCTGACTGGCTGCTGGCTGCTTGGAAAATATTGTCATTTTAAAATTTGGTACTACCAAAACATGTCAATAATTACTCTTGTTTTGAAAATAAAAAACATGACAATCATATTTTAAACTATACAAATGTTTTTAGTTCTATTTAGGACAACTTCGCCCTATTCTAAGCTAGGGGTAGATAGTGCTGGACTCGGGCCGGTTCGGGCCCGGTTCGGGCCTGGGCCCGGCCGGGCCTCGGGCCAGGAAAGGGAGGCCCGAGCCCGAACCGCCGGTGGCCGGTTCCGGTCCCGGTTCCGGGCCAAACCGGGCCGGGCCGAACCGGCCCATTTAATTTTTTTTTTTTTTTGTTCTCCTATTTAATCCCCTACCCCTCCCCCTCAACCCCAAACCATCCCAAACCACCTCAAATGGCCCAAAATACCTAATCCAACCTAAAACTTAAAAAAAATTCAAAAAAAAAAAAAAAAAAAAATTAAAATCCGGCCCGGACCGGGCCCGAACCGGCCGGGCCGGTTCACCAAAACCTGGGCCCGGGCCCGAACCGCCCAGCAGGCGGGCCGGGCCGAACCGAACCGAGGGACCCACCGGGCCCCGGGCCGGGCCGGGCCAAACAGTAACCGGGCCGGGCCGGTTCCGGGCCGGGCCGCCCGGCCCGAGTCCAGCACTAGGGGTAGACCCTAAACATAATGTAAGTGAAAAATTATAGGAAAAATAGAGGATGTAATGATTTGATAATTGGCAATGATATTGTTAGGATATTTTCCAATGGCCTAAGGTGGTCCAAACATAGATCTACTTTGAGCATTTCCTTCATAATCCATATCAAATACTCCATCCGTCCCATAGAAATGTTCCCACTTCACTTTTTTGGACTTCCGTATAAAGGTTCTCATTTCCATTTTAGGAAACGATTAACAATTTTAAATGAAAAATTAATCATTAAATATTAAAAATAATTCATTTATAACATCACAGTTATCAACACTAACCTAATTATATTATATACCTATTAAAATTATTTCTCAAAGTATACTCCAACTATCTTATTTGATTATTGTCTGAATAATTGTGCCGTTTTGACATGTGAATTTTTCAACGGGACGGAGGAAGTATAAAAAAGGAAAGGATCTCTTCATTATTTTTTTTTCCACGTCTCTTTCTTCCGTTGCATATTAGAACTCATTAAGGCTTGATTTGCATCATTATGTTCGATAAAAGGAATGAGGGAAGCTCCAATAGAAAATTGAATTGGAAAAATATTGATTATTCATCTCTTCAAAAACAGTGAATATTGAGTTCTCATAAGAGTCTTCATCAAATTGAATGGGGTCCCCAAATATTCGGGGTTACTTTTTCAAATAAATGTTTACATTTCTTTATGTACATCCGGAATTCTGATAGGCTTAATCCACTCCCCCAGGGGAGAAAACCGACATTAGATCGGCCCAGATATCCATACCAAGAGGTACATGAAGGTTGGGCGTTCCACCCCCATGTTACATCCATGCTAGCCAGGCAGCGGCAATGGCAGAGCAAAAAATGGCATGTTGGGGGATGCTTAAGTAATTTATTTTGGGGGGACAAGACTTAGAATTTCACTATATTTTTTTAGTGCTTATAATTATTTATACATACATACACATTACAAACTTTTTCTTGGAGGGGCGAGGGCCCTGCCAGCCTTCCCTGTCTCCACGCCTGGGCGGCGGAGAAAGTGAACATATATGAACACATCAGTTTCTCAATAGCAATATAGGACTTGCGAGAGGGATCTCGAGCATCCTGAACCTAGTAGAGCAATTTCCATACCATAACAGATGAGATTAATGCTTGGGCTGTAACCTTTTTTCCTGGTGCCTGAGATATGGAGGGAAAGCATTTAATGTATATGTATGAGAAGACATTGAAGGACAATGGTTGATCCAATGAACTTTCAACTACCATGTCCTGTTATAACTACACCATCATTACTAACGAGAACATTTACTTCCTTGCATTGTAGCAATTGTATGAGAAAGTGGTTAGACAGTACATGTGTAATACGGAGTATTAATTAAGAGCTAAATTGGAGTATGTTTCAAGAGCTGGTTCATTAATTACATGCCTAATTCAAATTTCAAAGGGTTTAAGTTTAAATTTTGATTCTCCTCACTTATTGCCTACACCATTCCCATACATCGGAACACTCCCAAAAGTTTCGTGTTGGGCTTTTGGGTCATAGCAATTCACCTAAACACTAGGGCCGTTTGTGAGACCTTGAATGAAGTTTCCGTTTGTTCTGCCTAAGTTACGGACACAACCAATACCTTATTCGATCACCATGAGGCAATGTCAAGGAAATAAGCTAACACTATGGAAGATCTCAACCACTGGCTCTCCGTTGGGTCCGGTGTGAGAAAATTCAAGACCAGGATCAAGCTTGGGGACAGTCCCAACTCCCAACATGTCCCTTTGTTCATAGATTGGAAGAAGACATGGAGCTTGCCAATCTAATTCTTGAGAATGTTCGCTCGGACCCATAGGCAGTTCAAGAAGACATGGTCTGGCCATTTTATGTTGGAAAAATGTGTGAAAAATTGCATTAAATGGCTATTTTGGGGCAATTTTTTGAGTGGGGTCCACTTCCGACTTGGGTCGGGTCAAAGTGGTTTCGGATTTTCCTTGTTAAGGGCTACAATTCGATATATGGTACGCTCAAAACGGATAACGGGTGAATGAGAAATCGCTTTTCGAAGTTTACCCGTTAGAATGGAAAAACTGGGAAAAAGGATGGGTTTCTAGTGTTAATTTCCCACACCGGAAAACCCAAGGGATTTGCAACCCTTTATAAAGGGACTCCCCCCTTAAGGAGTTAAGATTCCTTAGGGTAGAGGCTCTCTCCACGCGCGCAGGGGGGGGGGGTGCAAATGCAAATCAAATCCCGAAATCGGAGAAGAAAAACCGCGACTTGCGTGCGCGGGCGACCTGCGGACACGAATGTCGTCCAAAAATCTATCTCTCAAGAGATACGATTAATTTTTGTTTTCTTCCCGAAACGTTTAATTTTTTCCCAGCGCCAGAAGTGCTCGGATCAGAACACCTCGATGGTCTTCTGATGGCAGAACCCCTCTCGTTGGTATTCTGATGGCCACCCATCAGAGTTGGGGGTACTCTGATGGCCGCCCATCAGAGTTGGGAGTACTCTGATGGCCGCGGATCAGAGTTGGCCTCCGATCAGAACCCCTCCCGGGGAGTTCTGATGGAGGTCTTCTCTCGCACTTCTGAAACGTTACAACAATTAATGCCCAACGTTCTTATCTTTTAATGCAGCGTCAAATGGACAGTTCATGGAAGATTCAATGCCCAACGGACTGGTCATTGATGTCCAACGTTTAGGTCCATTAACTCACTATTTTCACACAACAAATCCTCCTATATAATGGCTGGCAGGTGGTTTACAACAACACACAAGTTTATACACATCCTTCACGTATTTTAGAGCTAAAAACACCTCCAGTCCTTCTGAAAATTTCTGAGTGTTCATACTTTGTTCTCGTTCGTTGGAACTCTTGTTTGTGTGCTCAAACATTAGTTCGTTGTCATCGTATCCTGGGAAACTATTGTTGCAACGCTCCTAGCACCGTGGGAGGCAACAAATACGTTTTAAGGACATCGTGCGTAGCACGAGCTTTGACAAATTCTGCTCCATCTCTTTTCTTGTTTTTCTTTCGTCATTTTATTTATTTAATTAATTTATTTTAATTAATTTTCTTTATTTTCCGAAACACACCCAACAATCTTAAAACGTATTTGTTTGTTAAGCTTGTATCATACGGATACAATCTTAAAACGTATTTTGTTGCTAAGTTTGTATCATACGGATACATTCTTCAACTGTAGTTTGTCACTTCTGTGAACGAACTTAAATCTTTTTTGTGTTTTCGGAAAAACGTTAAGAAAACGAAAATGACTTCTCAAGAAAACGAGATTGGTGTCGGCCAGAATGTTCTGAACGACAATCACTCTGAAAGCGGAGCTCCGGTGAACAATAGTTCACAACGCGGAGCATCTGCTTTGAACCAAAGGGCTATCCCTATGGTTACCGTGCCAAGCAACTCTGTGGAGAAACCCGAGAAATTCAATGGGTTAAACTTCAAGAGGTGGCAGCAAAAGATGCTATTTTATCTCACTACTCTCGGTCTTGCGAGGTTCTTGACCGAGGACGCTCCGGTTGTAACCGGGAGTGAGGTAGATGTGCAATCTCTCAACGCGGTTGAGGCTTGGAAGCATTCTGACTTCCTTTGCCGAAACTATGTGTTGAACGGGCTGCATGATGCTTTGTACGACGTATATAGCAAATTAGCTACGGCTAAGGAGCTATGGAATGCTTTGGACCACAAATATAAAAGCGAGGATGCCGGCGCAAAGAAATTTGTTGTTGGTCGATTCCTTGATTTTAAAATGGTGGATTCGAAGACGGTCTTGAGTCAAGTTGAGGAGATGCAAATGATCTTCAACGAAATTCGAGATGAAGGAATGACGGTTAGCGAGTCTTTCCAAGTAGCGTCAATTATACATTTGTTGCCGCAGGCTTGGAAGGATTTCAACAACTTCCTTAAGCATAAGCGAAAGGAAATGAACTTGGAACAATTGATCCTCCGTCTGCGGATTGAAGAGGATAACCGGAAGAACGATGGGAAACTCCCAATTGTTCATGGCGCCAAGGCCAACGTGGTGGAGCATGCAAAAAGCTCCAAAAATAAAAATAATGGGAAGAGCAAGCTCGGTCCCAAGGGAGGCGTTTCCAAGACTAAGTTCAACGGAAAATGCTTCAATTGCAATAAGAACGGACACAAGTCCTCGGATTGCAAGGCACCAAAGAGGAAGAAAGATTCTCACGTCAACTTGGTGCAAGGTGGGCAAAAGGATGAAGACATCATCCTTGCGGCTGTGGTTACGGAAGTCAACCTCGTTGGATCCAATTCCAAGGAGTGGTTCGTGGACACCGGTGCAACCCGGCATATTTGCTCAAACCGGGAGTTATTCACTACTTTTGAGCCATCAAATGATGAGAAAGTGTGGATGGGAAACTCAGCCCATTCCGAGGTGGAAGGCGTGGGCAAGGTGGTCCTGAAGATGACTTCGGGCAAGGAGCTGACTCTCAACAATGTGTTGTACGTCCCGGAGATACGCAAAAACCTGATCTCGGGCTCATTGTTGAACAAGCATGGCTTCCGCATGGTCTTTGAGTCGGACAAATTAGTTTTGTCCAAGTCGGGAATGTATGTGGGCAAGGGATATGCATGTGACGGGCTGTTTAAGCTCAATGTAACGACTATTATTATTAATAATAATAAAATCCCTTCTGCTTACTTGCTTGAGTCTTCCAATGTGTGGCATGGTAGACTAGGACATGTTAATTTTAATTCTATACGTAGATTAATTAACATGGAGCACATTCCTAAATTCACAATTGATGTGAAGCACAAATGTGATGTTTGTGTTGAGGCAAAACTAACGAAAACGTCTTTCAAATCGGTTGAAAGAAAAACGGAACCACTAGAATTAATTCATAGTGACGTTTGTGATTTTAAATCAATACAAACACGTGGCGGTAATAAATATTTTATTACTTTTATCGATGATAGCACTCGCTATAGCTATGTTTATTTGTTGAAAAATAAACACGAAGCAATCGATAAATTCATTCTTTATAAGAATGAAGTGGAAAACCAACTTAATCGACGGATTAAAACGGTTAGGAGTGATCGAGGTGGTGAGTATGAAGCACCAATTGGTGACTTTTGCGCTAGTGTGGGTATAGTACATGAACGTACCGCACCCTATTCACCTCAATCAAACGGTGTTGCCGAACGAAAGAATCGCACATTGAAAGATATGATGAATGCGATGCTAGTAAGTTCGGGCCTGCCACAAAATATGTGGGGCGAAGCAATCTTGACAAGCAATTACCTTTTAAATAAGGTTCCCCGGAAAAAATATGATAAAACTCCGTACGAGTTGTGGAAAGGCAGACGGCCTTCTTATCAATATTTGAAAGTGTGGGGGTGTCTTGCTAAGGTGCTTGTACCGACACCAAAGAAAATAAAAATAGGTCCAAAAACGGTGGATTGTATTTTTATTGGATATGCACAAAATAGTAGTGCTTATCGGTTTTTAGTGTACGATTCGAATAATCCGGATGTACATAAAAACACAATAATTGAGTCAAGGAATGCATCATTCTTTGAAGACGTATTTCCATGCAAGTCCAACGATAGACCTAGCACGTCAAAACGAACATTTGACGTAGCTATGGAAAATACTAGCAAGGGATCCGGTGAAGAAGCCGAACCCCGACGTAGCAAACGTGCTAGAGTTGAAAAATCCTTCGGACCGGATTTTCTCACATACTTGGTAGAATTCGATTCGAATATTCTAACTTGTATGGTAGAAAATGAACCGGATTTTCTAACATGTTTGGTAGAAAATGAGCCACGGACTTATACGGAAGCCGTAACGTCTACTGAAGGACCAATGTGGAAAGAAGCCATCAAAAGTGAGGTGGATTCTATCCTAAAAAATCACACATGGGAATTGGTTGATCTCCCTCCGGGATGTAAACCTTTGGGATCCAAGTGGATTTTTAAACGTAAAATGAAACCGGACGGTTCCATTGATAAGTATAAGGCCAGACTTGTAATCAAGGGATACAAGCAACGTGAGGGCCATGATTACTTTGACACGTATTCTCCGGTGACGAGAATAAATTCCATTAGGATGATACTGGCAATTGCCGCTTTGCGGAATTTGGAAGTTCATCAAATGGACGTAAAAACCGCTTTTCTAAATGGCGATATAGACGAAGAAATCTATATGGAACAACCCGAGGGTTTTCGCGTTCCTGGCCAAGAAAGGAAAGTTTGTAAATTAATTAAATCATTGTACGGATTGAAACAAGCCCCTAAACAGTGGCACGAAAAGTTCGATCATGCAATGTTAATTAATGGGTTTAAAATAAACGAAAGTGACAAATGCGTCTATGTGAAAAGCACGGTAGACGGCTATGTCATTTTATGTTTATACGTGGATGATATACTCATCGTGGGTAGCAATAATCTTATGATTAATTCTACCAAAAGCATGTTAAATTCTAAATTCGACATGAAGGATATGGGGCTGGCCGATTTAATCCTTGGGATTAAAATAATTAGAGGACCTGAGGGTCTGACGCTAAGCCAATCCCATTACGTTGATAAAATCCTTACTAAATTTAATAAGGATGATTATCAAGAGGCGAGGACGCCATTACATAAAAACGTACACCTGACCAAAAATCGTGGAGAGTGTATTTCTCAAGTAGAATACGCTAGGATTATTGGCAGTTTAATGTATCTAATGAGTTGTACCAGGCCTGATATTGCCTTTGTGGTTAGTAAGCTTAGTAGATATACTAGCAACCCCGGTGATGAACACTGGAAGGCAATAGTAAGGGTTTTGAGGTATTTACGGAAAACCCAAAACCTTGGACTGCACTACGGAAGATATCCAGCTGTACTTGAAGGGTATAGCGACGCTAGTTGGATATCTGACATTAAGGACTCAAAGTCCACGAGTGGATATGTTTTCACTTTGGGAGGTGCAGCCGTGTCGTGGAAATCCTCGAAACAAACGTTAATAGCTAGATCCACGATGGAATCTGAGCTAATAGCCTTGGATAAGTGCACTGAAGAGGCTGAATGGCTACGCCATTTTCTCGAGGATATTCCAAGTTGGGAGAAGCCTGTCCCTCCAATATGCATACATTGCGATTGTCAAGCGGCAATTGGAAGGGCACAGAGCAATCTCTATAATGGTAAGTCTAGACACGTCCGTCGTAGACATAATACCATTAAACAACTTCTCACAACGGGTGTTATCACTGTTGACTACGTGAAGTCAAAGGATAACATAGCGGATCCGCTAACCAAGGCATTGGATAGAGAATTGTTGGAGAAGTTGATACGAGGAATGGGATTAAAGCCCGTGAATTGAAAAGTTCTATAGTGGATACCCAACCTAGTTGGTCCTAGGTTCAAATGGGACAACTAAATTATAGAGCGAAGGATGGTCACTGTGGGGGTCCCGGACTCCTACCCACTCCTCGTTGAAACAGTGACTCCCGCACGAGGTTAGCAAAAACGTTTGCTTTAATGATTCTAAAATGTTGATCTACTCGATAACATTGGAAGAGTATGCGGGATACTCGTGAAAGAATCACCTATGTGAGAGAGAAGAGGGCCGCTTCAAAGGAGAACTGTAAAGGCTCAGTTCTTTAGAAACTCTTGCAGAACCAGGACGGTGACCCATGGCCAAAACGGGCACACCCATGAGAACGGAACAAAGTTGGAAGGTTCTTGTGTAAAGATAAGTCAATGTTTACACGACGGCGGTATAGTTCAAAGACATCGAGTCTACTAGACAGCCAGTAAATAAACGTGTCTTTACGGCGGAAGGTTCAAAGGATTAAACCTACCTCTCCGTATACAAGGATCATCCGGTGAACACAACGTGTCCTCCTATCTTCGTGTCTTTTTAAGTCTCGAAAATCAATTTTCATTCATGTGGGGGATTGTTGGAAAAATGTGTGAAAAATTGCATTAAATGGCTATTTTGGGGCAATTTTTTGAGTGGGGTCCACTTCCGACTTGGGTCGGGTCAAAGTGGTTTCGGATTTTCCTTGTTAAGGGCTACAATTCGATATATGGTACGCTCAAAACGGATAACGGGTGAATGAGAAATCGCTTTTCGAAGTTTACCCGTTAGAATGGAAAAACTGGGAAAAAGGATGGGTTTCTAGTGTTAATTTCCCACACCGGAAAACCCAAGGGATTTGCAACCCTTTATAAAGGGACTCCCCCCTTAAGGAGTTAAGATTCCTTAGGGTAGAGGCTCTCTCCACGCGCGCAGGGGGGGGGGGGGGGTGCAAATGCAAATCAAATCCCGAAATCGGAGAAGAAAAACCGCGACTTGCGTGCGCGGGCGACCTGCGGACACGAATGTCGTCCAAAAATCTATCTCTCAAGAGATACGATTAATTTTTGTTTTCTTCCCGAAACGTTTAATTTTTTCCCAGCGCCAGAAGTGCTCGGATCAGAACACCTCGATGGTCTTCTGATGGCAGAACCCCTCTCGTTGGTATTCTGATGGCCACCCATCAGAGTTGGGGGTACTCTGATGGCCGCCCATCAGAGTTGGGAGTACTCTGATGGCCGCGGATCAGAGTTGGCCTCCGATCAGAACCCCTCCCGGGGAGTTCTGATGGAGGTCTTCTCTCGCACTTCTGAAACGTTACAACAATTAATGCCCAACGTTCTTATCTTTTAATGCAGCGTCAAATGGACAGTTCATGGAAGATTCAATGCCCAACGGACTGGTCATTGATGTCCAACGTTTAGGTCCATTAACTCACTATTTTCACACAACAAATCCTCCTATATAATGGCTGGCAGGTGGTTTACAACAACACACAAGTTTATACACATCCTTCACGTATTTTAGAGCTAAAAACACCTCCAGTCCTTCTGAAAATTTCTGAGTGTTCATACTTTGTTCTCGTTCGTTGGAACTCTTGTTTGTGTGCTCAAACATTAGTTCGTTGTCATCGTATCCTGGGAAACTATTGTTGCAACGCTCCTAGCACCGTGGGAGGCAACAAATACGTTTTAAGGACATCGTGCGTAGCACGAGCTTTGACAAATTCTGCTCCATCTCTTTTCTTGTTTTTCTTTCGTCATTTTATTTATTTAATTAATTTATTTTAATTAATTTTCTTTATTTTCCGAAACACACCCAACATTTTATATATGGGAAAACTGTCAATTTAGCCCCAGTACTATACTGAAAACGTCGATTAGGCCCCCGTACTTCAAAAACACCCAATTGAATCCTCGTACTACTAAAAAATGCTCAATTGAGCACTTTTAGAAGGTCACCAACCGGTTTCCCGGTTAGGTACACGCGTGGCATTCCACGTGACAGCCCACATGGCATTTTTTCTATTTTCTTTTTTCCTTTCTATTTTCTTTTTCTTTTTCTTTATCCTTCTCTTTTCTTTTCTATCCTTCTTCCCCTTCGCGTACAGAGCATTCATAGTCGGTGAAGCCAGTGAAGAAATTTAGGGGTTGCCGACATCACCAGGGTTGCTCTTGTTCCAGAGTTCTGTTACACTTGATAACGTCGCATAGCACGGAAGTCTACCTTTCGGCCGCAAACCAACCTTCCGGCGTAATACCCAACTTGAGAAGTTGCAAAATAAAAATGAGATATAAGAAGGAAGATGGAGTTGCAGGAGGCCGGCAAAATAAAAAAGAAGAGAAGTTGCAACGTGAAAATGAAGAAAAGGAAAAAAGAGATGTACTCCGGAAGACGGAATTGCAGAAGACCGGCGACCTGGGATCTGGGAAGGACTGATGGGATCTAGGAAGGACCGAAGGAAGGGAGCGAGAGTAAAGAAAGAAGAAAGAAAGGAAAAGGAAGGGAAAAAGAAAAAGAAGGAAGATGGAGTTGCAGGAGGCCAGCGACCTGGGATCTGGGAAGGACCGATGGGATCTGGGAAGGACCGAAGGAAGAGAACGAGAGTAAAGAAAGAAGAAAGAAAGGAAAAGGAAGGGAAAAAGAAAAAGAAAAAGAAAAAAGATAAAACCTGCCACGCGGGCCGCCACGTGGAGTGCCACGCGTGTACCTAACCGGGAAACCGGTTGGTGACCTTCTAAAAGTGCTCAATTGAACGTTTTTTAATAGTACGAGGATTCAATTGGGTGTTTTTGAAGTACGGGGGCCTAATCGACGTTTTCAGTATAATACGGGGGCTAAATTGACAGTTTTCCCTTTTATATATTGAAGCCTGAGAAGCTGAGAACAGGACCTAAAATTCGAGTTCTGAGTCGCCAATTCCAATAAACTGGTCGATTCTACGGATGGACTAGTCCCGGGTCAGGACCGGGTCCGGGTCGGGCTTAGGGCAGGCCCGGGTCTGGAAATGGAGGCCCGGAACCGGACCGACTATATATATTGTTTTTGGGTTTTTGCTTATTCATTCTACCCCCAACCCGCAAACACCCCCAAAACAACCAGCCCAACCCAACTCTTACCCAAACCAGTCCAACCCCCCCCCCCCCCCCCCCCCAAAAAAAAAAAAAAAAAAAAAAAAACATTGGGCCCGGACCGGCCGGGCCGGTACCAAGAGAGGTTCAGCCCGAGATCGCCCCCAAAACACCCCCTGGGCCAGGCCCTAGGCCCGGTCCCGGTCAACCGGGTCAGTCTGGTCCCGCACAGTGGCGGCCTAGTCCCAGGCCGGTCAGACCGGTCTCGGGCCACCCCTAGTCGATTCTAGCTCCAATATAGAGATATAATTCAGATCTTGTGTGAAAAGAAAAACGAAATCCGTACAAATCATGACATAAACCTGAAAGGCTGTTCGGTAGTTCCACATTAAGGTTTTGCATGTAAAATGTTTACATGCCAAGTGTTGGGAACCAATTATCATGCATCTAGTTAGGTGTGTAGCGCAAATTTAAATTGCAAGCGAAGTATTTGCATTTTTAATACTAGGTATTAAATGATGTAAAGTATTCTCTCCCCTCAAATGAAATATTTTACGTCATTCGCAAAATGCTTAAATAAAATGTCATACAATTTATGTTTAAATACAATTAAATACAAAATGCTTAAATAAAAAGTTACACTATATAAACTCTTTGTTTCTCTACGACTCTCTACATATGCATAACTGAATGAAGGAATTATGGTATTTGTTGTTCACAAGATAGAGTAGGGATGGACCAATCCCAATTCTGGGTTAGTTTCGGTCCCGAGGTTTTGGGGTTTGAGATACCTTGAACCGAGACCAATGCTGGTTATTCTGGTTTGGGGCCAATTTCAATCCTGGTCTCAGTCCCAATCCCGTTTTCTTTAAATCTTCTTGTGCATCTATTAAGGGGTTGTTTGGATTTGATTCTCAAAACTGATTCTGCTCCTTCAAGGAGCAGAAGCAGAAGCTGGAGTGTTTGAGTGAAATTCCAGAAGCAGTTTGCTCTAATTTACTCTCAGAATCAGTTTTTTTAGAAGCTGGGGGTACCAGCTCCAAAAAACTGATTCTGATTCTGCTTCTACTTTAAAAAAGAAGCAGAAGCAGAATCAGTTCCAAACACCCCTAACTCTCCCAACCGCCCTCTATACCCTTTATAGCTTTCAAATGAATTTACACCTCTTAAAACAAATGCTTCTAAAGCTTGAAATGCAAAAAACAAAAACAAAAACAAAAAGACCGAACCAGGATCAGACCTGCCGGTTCCGGTCCCTACAAACTACGCCCGGGACCCGTTAACCCCCTAGGGGCCAGTCTCCTAATCGAACTGGGCAACCCGATCCTAGGAACTGGTCGGTTCCGGTTATGACCGGTCCACCCCTAGTTAGAAGTAACGATTACCCTTGTAAAGATAAAAACAGAAAAATGCCAAATTCCCTTGTGATCAAGAAATAAAGAGTCTCCAGGAGGGGGTATATGGTTATGAATATTCATCACACCAGAAATTATACACCATCCATATATGTCTTAAGTTTGTACAGGCTGGGAGGACTTATATTCAAGCATCTCAACCCTGTATCTCTCTTTATCTCGCAAACCCTTTTCCTGATAAACCTGAAAGAAATAGAAGAGCACGACCATATTCCTCAAATGGGAGATGCAAAGCAATGGAAATACCACTCAAGTGGGCATCTCGAGCCTGGGCCGGAACATAGTGTTCCAGATCCGGACCCACCAACTGATTTATAATTCGAGATCCAATCCGCGTAAGGGAAGGGTCTGAAATTATTGTTCCAAACCCAGACCCAATAAGTCCCGGAACTGGGTCGGGTAGACCCATCCAATATGAAATTAACAATATTGCAATTTTCTTTTATGATAGTATATTTAAAAAGGGGAAAATAATTAAAATACCCCAAACTTTGAAGAAGTGTGAGATAAACACCTCATACTTTCATATGTAATTTAAATACCCCAAACTTTTTATATAAAGTTATTTTAGTACCATGGCCATATGTTATTTTTTTCAAAAATGTAAATTTGTGAGGTTAATTGCATAATTTAAAATAGCAAATTAAAAATGATGCAATTATATAGAGTGGCGGTAGTATTATTTATTTTATAATGAAAGTTTAGAATGTTAATTGTATCTTCATGAATGCTAAAATATTTTAATTTATGAAATTAACACCAAAAACTAACATTTTTTGAAGAAATAATATATGACCATGGTGCTAAAATAACTTTTTATATAAAGTTTGGGGTAATTAAATTACATATGCAAGTTTGGGGTGCTTACCTCACACCCCTTCAAAGTTTGGGGTATTTTAATTATTTTTCCCATTTAAAAAAGAACATTTTTTTCATATCATTTCATATAAAAATCCCCTCGATAAGGAATATGTTGGAGGCCAACAGAATTGTTAATGAAGGGGCATTTTTGTCTATTCGTACGGGGTTGGGGTGCAAATAAAAAGTTTTTTAAAAAAGGGGGTGCAAAGTCTAATTTGGACAATAAAATTGGGTGCAAACTCAAATTACCCAAAAATAAAATTAAGAGTTTGGAACATAATAGGTACATAGTTTTGGTAGCAAAATTAGTTCATTTCTCGTTAAAAATAAACAAAAAGAAAAAGAAAAACAAGTGTTTGCTTTTAAAACAAAAAAGATGTGTCATGTGTGTAAAATGTAGTCACTAGATGTGTGCTTGTGTTTATATATATGTGTGTCAGTCAGTCAGTGTGTGTGAATAGTGGAATAAATTATGAGAATATCTAACGGGCATGGGTCCTTAACAGGTTGGGATCACATGTACTGTACCCGATCCATTAATAATACTAAAATAATGGATCCAGATCCGGGTAAATGGAATAAAATATAAACTCATATCTGGAAAAAAAATAAGCGGGTCAGGGCGGGTGGCCCATTGACATACTTAAACTGAAGTATATGTAAGAGAACAAATATACCCGTCAGCTTTCTTTTGGAACAGTTAAGCATCAAATTTGTAAGGTAGAACATATTCTATTGAACTATAAAGAGAAAAGCATCATATAACTATTAGCCATTTTGCAACTTGACCCTTTAAGAGAATGACCTTACATATACACCCCTCAAGTCATTAAGAAAAGGCAATTGAGCCCTTTTTACTAGCTGGTGCCGGTAACATCCATGTTACCGACTTAGTGGCACCATCAGGTAAAAAACAGTTCAATTATTTTTTTCTAAAGAGTTCAGGGGTGTATTCACAAAGTATCCAATTAAGGGGCGCACTTGCAGATTCAATAAGAGTTTGAGGGCTCATTTGACCCATTTCTCAATTATAAATTAGAGAGCTTATATACCTTGTATGTCCTAATAGTGAAGGAGTATATACATTCTTTATTTAGGTTCACATCTTCTCTGTCGTATAGTCCAGGGGTATATTTATTTTTATCCCTTCTTGATATAGGTGCACAAGTTCATTCGTGAAGATAAATAATATGCCGCACAATACCAGAAGAGAATAGACTAAACCAAACCAGCCAAATTCAGTACAAAAGAAGATGCCTAACTTATGAGTTAATTTATGGTGTATCGTGAGATGCAGATACCCTGAATAGGATTTTTGAAAATTAAAAATATTACCTGTTTCTCAGCATCTGTGAGCCGGCTCCATAACAGCCCAATTTCCTTGCTGATAGCTTTTGCATGGCCCTGATGTGAAGGCTTAAGCTTGGCATACTGTTCGGCATAAAAGAAATTGTAGCCACTTAGATTTTGACGTGGTCGAGAGTGATCCGGTAGTGCAAGCTGGTATTTCTTTCTAGTCTGTTTCGCAGGTCCGCTAGAAGTACTAGCACTTTGAGGTGAGTGTGGTTGTATAGGTTTATGATAAAGAGCACCATTCAATACCTCCGACCCCATATTCACAGTAATTACATAGCCATCTTCAAACTTTGCATCAATTGTGCCAATAACTGAGTTGCCAACTTCAAGACTGTTGGGAGTCTCTGCATATCACGTTGTAAACTTTGAATAGTTCTTACAAGGACTTGTGTCTGTTAATAGTCTGCACTAACGGTCTAAAAGCTGACCTGAATGTCCAATCTTGGTGGCATCACCATCCACAGGATGCATGGTTTGTAAGGAACTGGAAGTTTTGCTTGTAGGATCTGCGTAGATTCAAATGATGAGAACAGTTGGGCAGGGTCATGGTAAGACGACCCATCAAAGCAGCACTCCTATGATGAGGCTTTCTTGGCCCCAAGCTATCCTTTTTAATTGCTTAGTGGTAGGATTAGCTTTCCTATTACTATTTGATTTCTTGTTGTCTTGTTCTTAGATTCATAGAACTAGTCTCTTAGAGCTATTGTGATTGTTCTGTTTGGGACTATAAAAAACCCTTTCCATTTACTAATAAACATCAGCGAGTGATATTAGCTTAAAGATAAAGTCTTCTGTCGTTGTGCGACAAAAATTAGTCTCTTTGCACTGTGTGAAAGGACTTCAATAATTCCTGCCCACCATTGGGGTTTTTACCTCAAGCTTATCTTAGATGCCAGGCAATTTTACACTATTATGAGTCCTAGTGCAGTTTTAATCTTGAAATATGTTTCAAACATTATACTATCATTTTCTTATTTTACTATTTTTCCCAAATATCATTTGAAGTATTACAATATCATTATTTGAAATATTTTTCAAACATTATACTCCCTCCATCCCAAAATGGTTGGCCAAATTTCCTTTTCTGGCCGTCCCAAAAAGGTTTGTCATTTCCATTTATTGTAAGGAATATGTGGCTAAAGTTAATTCTCTCTCCTCTGCACAAATTTCAACCACACAGTTTTTACTTTATTAATCCACGTGCAAGTCAACAATGACCAACGATTTTGGGACGAAGGGAGTAATATCATTTGAAATATGCTTCAAAATATTTCCATCATTTGTAATGGAGCCAAAGATTCACTATTTTTTTGGCTTGGGAATATGATGTAATAAAACAAAATGGCTCACTAAACAGTCTCTTTGTGCTAGCTTTAGTACAGGGGTAAGGTTGCGTACATCTGACCCCCCAACCCCACCGTAGGTGGGGGCCTTTGCAGCACTGGGGTGATGATGTGATGATGACTATATTTTTTCAAAATATAAAATAATAAAACAACTCTCTTTTTTAAGAAAAAACTAAAAGTTTTTGCATCATATATAGACTATATTTTTAAAATGTTGGGCTTCTAAATTAGGAGCTCATTGTGATAGCCCATTTTGCACACCCAACCAGACGGTCCGGCTACACGGAGAATTCGTGTGTATAATATATCAATCAGTGTCGGGACTCTGGAGGTACCAGTGGCAGATGAAGGCTCTTCCTTGCGGAAGTAATAGACCTGCTCAAAGTGATATAACAAAGAGAGGTAGTACTTTCTCAAGAGGAACGATGGACTTGTTACATAGGATGGAAAACTGAAGGCCCCAATCACGTCCTCCCATCGTCGATCTCTAATAACCTGTCCATTATAAGATGTGATCCACATAACGCATATAACAACACAACATTGTCAAGTAGTCATACAAAAGAGTAGGAAAAGTTATGATCAAGGATAAATGGCTTTGCAGCTATTAAAATGACATTGTTATGTTCGGACTTGTTCATCCAAGAGCAGAAGTTTCAAGTAATTATAAGAAAGTCAGGTTCTTCAAACAGCTAGAATTTCACCAATGGATGAACAATTAAATGCATTTTACTTTCACATAATAATTAGATCTCCTCACTCTTACATACAGAAAATACTCTAGAGTTGAAATGTAGTACCATTGAGTATGATGAGATAAGTTGTATACTATGATCCTATAAGAACATGTTTTAATGTTTCGGAATTCTGTAGCACTACAAATAAGCTTTAGCATACTGAACTCAAAGGTTGTACAAAAAATAACACTGAACGTAAAGGTCAATATTCTCCTGTTCCAGATAAAGTGTTTTTTCCATCTTAGATGTGGGCAATGAACATAAAAAATGACCATTAAGAAAACATACCTTATCAATTCCTCCTTGCAACGTAACCTCCACAAAAAGGCGGTAAAGGTCTAGAGGCTTTCCTGCTACAGTAGGAATCCTGAAAGGATAAATTAAAACGGAGTAGTCACATTGTCAATCATTTAGTACTTCTCGTACTTCTTTCATCATAATTACTACTCCCTCCGTCCCCCTAACTTTGTCCCATTTTACCTTTTTCGTCCGTCCCATTAAGTTTGTCCCATACCATATTTGGCAATATTTGGGTGGTTACAATTCATTCTTACTTTATTCACACTTTATCAACTCAACACCAACCACACAATTCCACTTTTTCTTAAAATTTGTGCCACACTCCTTTGTCCCAAACATTATGGGACGGAGGGAGTAGTATTTTTTATCCATAATATTTTTTTAAAGCAAGTCTTTAAAATTTATAAGGGATAGCTAATATTATATATATATATATATATATATATATATTGGGGTCGGCTAACATGATACTACATATAATACACACACACAATATATATATAGACAATCTTTCATGTCCAGCTGGCCTGACGGAAACCACCGTCCAGCCGAGGCCATTTGAGTCCCTTCCGGTGGAATTTTTTGATGATTTTTTTGGGCATGTTCTTCATCATGTCTAGTTTTTTTGAGCATGTTCTTAAAAAAATTATTTAAATGTCTTCCAGATTGAATTTTTTGCTGAAATTTGGTGGGTACGAACTAGAAGGTAATAAAATATAAACTCACTAGGTAATAAAATTTGGTGGGTAAGAATTTTTTGCAACAGTTGTTGGTCATTTAGCTTAAATATATAGGGAGCACTACCTAATAGACTCACTATTATGGAGTATAATTATACTTGGTATAATTTATAGTTATGAAACACCCACTCTTAAATGTTAAAAGTATGAGTAGTAGCCTAGTTGAAAAATTCTTTTGGCCTTGGTGCAATTTGCCCAGCCAATCTGTTTTTTTCTTCTTCTTGGATTTTAGTTTTGCATGTGGAAGATCTCTATCCCACACCGGAAGGAGAGGAAATCTTCCTCCATCCAAAACATTATATATAGCGAATATCCGTGTTTGTTGGTTAATCTTAAGTGGTCAGCTACTCTTATGATCACTTAGCAGCCTATATATGGGTTGGGCTTAAAATAATAGTTAAAAGTTTTATATTTTATAGGACAATACGCCTTTGCTCAAGCATTTTGACTAAGCAGGCCGTACTGGTAGCGACACCTTTTTGGGCCTTTCAGAACAATGCAGATGGCCTAAGTACTCTTAACTATTTAAATAAAAAAAATGGGCCCTCCCTTCAAATTGGGCCCTGTGCGACCGCACTGCTTGCACATTGCCAGGGCCGGCCCTGATTATACTTTTGAACAAAATTACGAAACTCACAGTGCTGTGTGAGCTAGGGTTCCAGCAATGCCAATTGGCCAAAATAGACTCTTGGAGTCAATCAGGTATCCACATCACGATTCTGCTCAATAATTTTGCAAGCATACAGGGAGCGCATATGAAATATACTCATAGGTGATACATGTAGAAAAATTTAATCACCAAATACAATAGAAGCGGTAAAATGTGAGAATTATGGTAATGACATCCATCAGCAAAGAACTTCTTGAGCAGTTGAGCTCTACAACCTCTAAGGCTCTAACTAACAAATGAAGCACTAGAGAAGCATGAAAATATCACAAAATATAAAGATAAAGATAAAGATGAAGAAAGAAAGAGATGACTAACGAGTATTTGGCACCCAATGAAATGTGAAAAGCTTGAAGCTTTTGCCAGAAAAGCTCCGGGTTTCGAACAATTTCCTGGAACTCAGCTTCGGGCTTAGGGTATGAGAGAGGGCGTTCGGCATTAACAGAAAAAACTGTTTCCACGGCTGGTGTGACAGATGACATGTCTCGCGCCCAAGAACCAGCAATTCTCCCACAGTTTGCAATGCCAGAAATGTAGCATGTAAAAGCCTACCCCTTCGTCTAGGATCGTCTTTTTATTTTGTTATTTTGTGGCCCATATAAAATTACTCCGTATTAATTATACTCCGTATAAATAAAACATTTTTAAAGGGTCTCAGAATTATTTTACTCCATAAACTAATAAATTCATCATTTTAATCTTTATTTTATTCATTCGTCATTTTTGACCATCAAATTGACGTAATATTCAAGATCTTACGCATAAAAGTCATGTGTGTAAGCATTTTATATTTAAGAAATTGAGGAAAGAGTCGATTGAGTACATTAACTTGTATCAGGCGAAGTAAAGAGTACATTATATTGCATTTAATCTTTTTAAGTACACAAATTCGGATTTTTAGTGTTAATTGAGTACACCCGTTAGATTAACACGTTAATACAGCTGAGTTGGTTAACAAGATGTTGAGTAAGAAGGGGTAATGAACTAAGGTTATGGCGCTGACCTTCATGAAGTCGACCAAAAGGGGAAAATCGACCTTCAGAGGTCGACTTGCGGGGGGCGTCGGCCAGCAGGGGTGCATCAATCAAGGAGAAGTCAATCTGCGGGGGACTGACGTCGACCAGGGAGAAGTCGATGAAGTGGCTGGGGTTGGCTCGACCTTCAAGAAGTCGACCTATAGCGTTCTGTTAACCAACTCAGCCGTATTAACGTGTTAATTTAACGGGTGTACTCAATTAATTAACACTAAAAATCCGAGTTTGTATACTTAAAAAAGATCAAATGCAATATTGTGTACTCTTTACTCCACCTCATACAAGTTGATGTACTCGATTGACTCTTACCTCTAAGATTACTTAAAATAAATCATCTAAGAAAAGGATTAAAGAATTTTATGATACAAACAACTTCACTTTATTATAAATCCTCCATCAAATAATATAATGGAGTTGTTTGATCCTCCATCAAAAAGAATTTTTCCATGTTTTTTGTTTAATTTTGTTACACGTCTCTATATAATAGAGTTGTTTGATCCCCTCTTTAAAAACTAGGATGTGATATATATTTTACACATGATTACTTATTTAAATATAAGTTGTTTTTCACGCGGCTGTTCACATGCCAATATATTTAGCAATATTTTAAAAAATAATACATGTATCACATCTCTATCTTTTTAAGAGGGAAAAAAATACTCAACTATACGCAAACGTGTAGATAAAATTTAACAAGTAAAAGGGATTGTTATTATTAATAATAATAAATTTACTTCTAGTACTGCTACTACCGTGTCTATCATAAATTTCATTGGTGAAAATAAATAATCTACCTACTTAATAATAAAGTACAACCTTTTAATTGAAATTAAATTCTCAATTAATTGTTGTTATTAAGTCCAATTAGTGATTAGCCATTAATTGAAATTACGTCCTAAATTCATAGTATTTGTATATATTGTTATCAAGCATGAATCTCTTACTTAATAATAAAGTACAACATTCTAATTTAAATTGAACTCTCAACTAATTGCTTTTGAGTCCAATAAGTGAAATGCATTAATTATTTACATATGTTATGGAACATCAATTTCCAATAAACTATAACAAATATATAATCATTTAGAGAGAATACATATATTTAATTTGAAATATTTTATGATATTGAATTTTATTTCATGTTTTTGAAAGCTTTATCGAGTTGGTTCTACAAAATCACATAGAATTTGAATAAAATCCATTCAGTGTTTTGAAATACCTTGTATATGTTGTTAAAAAATGCATATTTTGACATATATACACTACCAATTCTGTGGGGCTGGGTGATGTAGAAGTAAATAACCCATTGGTTTATAGCACAGTCTCTTGAAGCACGAAACATTTAATTCGAAAGGACAACTCAGTCCATTCAGTCAATGTATTAGCTTTTGCTAGGTCAGAGTCAATGTATTAACTTTTGCTAGTGTAACACGTCACCTACCTGAAATGCAGTGCCATTCCGTCAAACCTACCAGTAACACGCAAAATACATGAAATACTGTGCAATTTCAGACTACAGAGCATTAATTGTGCATTACTTAGGTCCTGCACTCCTGTCTTTGAAACCCGACCCGCCCCATATCTAATATGGTGTTTTGGGCGGGCAAACAGCCAGAAATCCCACTTCTCTTTATATAGAGATAGATTTTCAACGTGTATGAGAACCCATTGCATGCTCCTTTTTGTTTTTAATCCTTTCGTGCAATCAGAGTGATAGCTGAAGAAAAGACAATACTCCTTTCGTCTCCGTACAAACAAAACTAAAGAAAACCTATACATATACTCATTCGTTGGTTTGCTGGGTTGATCCAAAAAGGATTATATTTCCCTTCTTTCCAAGAGAAATAAGATCCATAGTTCTTTTGTGTGAGGGTTTCTTTTCAACAAAAAGGCAACCGGGCAACGGTCGAAGGTTTCAGTCGAGGTAGCTACAAGTCTGAAACGTGGTAGGGTTATCCTGGGAGCGAGCTAGCCAGACCCGTCCGAATAGCTATCGGGATACGGGAGCTATCTTTCTTCAAGGCCAGTCCGTCTTAACGGACGATCCTACGATAAGTTTTCTTATCCTTTCTATTTATTCATTTTGTTAATTATTCTAATTATTATTTTTATTTGTTCTTGCATTTGTTGGTTTGTCTAGTGATTTGTATAAACTCGGGATTTTTATCTGGTTAAACTCGCATTTTTAATATCAATTGTCTAACAAGTTTCACATATATACATTAGTTAAAATAATGGATCAAAGTTTATCATTTTTAACTGGAAAAGTCAAAGTTGGCTAAATAAAAAGGGACAAAGGTAGTATCTTATTAAGTGTTCAAACATTTCCGAAATCCGACCGGGACAACATTCGGGTAAAACACTAGTTATTCATTTAATTATATTTAAATGATTCAATTGCAATTAAATTACTTTTTTTTGTAAAAAAAGAAAAGAAAAACGATTCAATTGCAATATTTTAAATTTACGTGTGAACTAGACAAAACAATAGAATCACATACCCATTCAAGTAGAGATGTATAAAAATCTTCTCCTATGCAATTTCGAACTAATATATCATATATATATATTGCAATCACGTGAGATTGGGGAAGCATTTACTTAGGATTGAAATTCTCTAGTATAGTGTGAGTTAGTCTCTGTGTATTTTATAACTGCAGAAGTCTGGTCTGGTTTAGTTTATTAAACACTGGTCCGATCTATTTTAGTCTAATCTAATTTGATGTAATTTGAGACTAAAATAAATTCAAGTAAAATCATCGTGATTGATTTTAAGGTTTAAAATATTATCAAATGCTCGACTAATGTAGTGTGAAATTAACAACCCTAATCTACGAATAAATGAGTTCAAATGAGCCAATGTGTGGGTTTCGGCCCATCTTGACCGTTCTGCTACAGAGTAGTAAAGTTAATACTCCTCCCGTCCCATTTTAAAGTTCTCACTTTCTTTTTTTTGAACGTCCCATATAAAAGTTCTTATTTCTATCTTAAAAAACAATTAACACTTTTAAATGATAACTTAATCATCAAATATTAAAAACAATACTTCGTATAATTATAACATTACAATTATCATTGATGTTTTCAGTACATTATATACCCATCATTTTTTTTTGAATTATTTAATTTAATTATTCTTTACTTAATAATGTCATTTTAGAATGAGAATATGAGGATGTAGGATGTTTTTACTTAAACTGAAATTTGCTGGTTGATTTGATCTGATCTGACAAATGTCGAATCTCCGTATATTTTATAACTGTTTAAGTTATAAACAGTTATATAAACAGTTTTCGATCTGGTCTCCCTATATTTTATCTGATCTGATTTTATCGTGTTCTCAGTCAAAAAATGATCCAAACTAAAAAAATCTTTTTTTTTTGAAGGGAAAAAAAATCTTAGTACTTTACTTCAAGTAAACGCATAATAGTCTTTTATTTAGTCAGGCGGAAGAACAACAGATAAGATAAGTTGGTGACTGGGCATCTCAAAGTCAATCCAAATCTCTTAGAGCATCTCCAGTCGGACACCCTTAACATTAAAAAAACAATCCATGTCATGCTTCTTTAACATTACGGTAAAATTTTAGTGTCCAATGCATTATGTTTACTCTCATGTGATGCTGAGTTGTAAAAAATTAATTTAGACAGTGTCTTCATGAATGTCTTCTGACGACAGTTTCCTTGACAGCCTGAGTCAGCAAACGTGAAGGAAAACTGCTGGGTTTTAATTAGTTTTCTATTTTTTTTTGTTTTGAAGAAGTTAGTTTTCCATTTTATTAATTTGAATTAAATACATTCCACTTACAAAGCTGATAGACATCAACGACGGAATGCATTGAGAAGCATTTGGCTGTTTTAGGAGTTGAAGTATTGACATTCATCCTACATGGCTAAACATTCCATACATGTATTGCCATGTGTCACAATTTTTTTAATGTTGAAAGCCTCCCATTAAAGATGCTCTTATTTTGGGGGATCCAGAACCATTTTCCTCTCCGTATACAACTTGATTACAGTAATGGCCCCGCCATTTTTGTTCTCGTCCATTAACTCCACCCCTCAACGCCACAACTCCTCACTTCATGCTCATGTGCGCTACTCCTCGTCTCCTCACAACTCACAACCATGGTGATGCTGTTCCGCAGAGTCTGGGAATCAGTTTCTACTCGTTCGGCGTCCGGTTCCAGACGTTACCCCAGCGATGGATTTCAACAGCAGATGTTTATACGATCGTTGTCGGCGGGGGAGTTCGACAGGATACCGACCGATGTATTCCTCGTAATCGTGAAGCTCCTTGGCCCCAAGGAGGCGGCGAAGCTCGCCGCCGTCTGTAAGTTGTGGCGATTTGTCCTTTCGGATAACAGGCTTTGGATTTACTTCCTTCAGATTCAACACGAGCCTTGGGATTCTATATTCTTCGCCGAAACTCACTTGCGATCGGGCTATTCTCTTTGGTATTAGTCTTTGCCTTTGAAATTCTGTCTTCTGTCGTGAATGTCAGGTTCGCAAAAAACAATTAGGAGAGAAAGCTAATCAATGAAACCAGAATTGTGGATTTATAACTAATTCATACGTGCTAATATGGCAGGGGTGAAGCCGTGAGCTGCCCTTCAACCCCACCCAACCCCCCATAATATATACGCACAATCTGTGTTTTGCTTTAATTATTTATATTTAAATTTTAGAAGGGTGGGCATAACAGTGAAGCGGTGGAAATGCGCGGTAAAAATGAGCTTAGCAACCAGAGTTCAAATCTTGTCAGGCCTAGTTACATTTATTTTCGTTTAAATGGATCAAATGTATTACGGAGTAATTCAACAAATATTTTTGAAAATGTTCACAATCACATCTTTGCACACACAAATAATAAATGGGTACCTCTATTATCAATACTTTTAAACTTATAACTTTAGTAAGTTCTAACTATTTAGTTCTAATAACATCATTTCACACACAAATCATAAATTGATCTCTTTTATCCACAATTTAATTTATAACTTAAATAACTTCTAACTATATACGTAGTTCATTTTGGGTGTGTTTGACATTTATCTCTTAGCGGGTAGTGGATGACGGATTACTTTACTCGGTTGTTAATATTGGGTTATTTTGGCTGTAGCGCTTAGTAAGTAATGCTCTATATGAAAACGCTAGCTGAAAACGTTTTTAGTAAGTAATGCTGCTATTTGTACAAAGGGTTCACAGTTCAAGTATCTTACTTGCTGTAAAGAATGCTTTGCGACATTTTGTACCAAGTGAGGGAAGAATAAGTGGTGGGCGTGGGTCTGAACTCATTTGTTGGTTAAACCATGTGCAGGTCATTTGCTAATCCAGTTGCTGAACTTTCATTCATGCATATTTATGGTCAGCGTGCCAAGGTCCCTGGAACCATGATTATTGATGGTGCGCACTAGGTGTCTAGGATACTGGTTTTACTCTGTTTTAAGTAGGCGGCCTTTAGGGTCCTGGTTGGTCTTTTTTAATTTTTTAATTTTTAATTTTATTCTTTTGCTGCTAAAACAACAGTGAAGGGTTTGTAGTACCATGACAAGGTACTACAAGTCTTCAATATGACAATATCCTTTTTTCTGAGATCTTATTCTTTCATTGATTTCATTCTTCTTTTCATGAAAAGGTGGTTCGGGCTATTGCAAGTATGGATGGAGTAAATATACTCGTCCATCAGGGAGATCAGCCACATTTTTAGTAAGATCTCTTATAAGCTTCTCATAGCAATTGGCAACTCATTAAAATACAATTTTGTCGACTCGGGATGTTCTTTCTTTTAACCCTGTGCTATCAGAGTTTGAATTTTATCCTCTTCTTGACTTTTCTTGTCTAGGAATTTGGTAACATTGAAACTCCAATGTATTCTAGGCTGAGGCATTTCTTCTCGACCATATATAGCAGGTTCCCTTTCCTAATAACTTTATCATATATATATATACATACATACATACATACATATATATATATATATATATATATACTCCCTCCGTCCCAAAAACAACTTCCCATTCACTATTCATTGGTCAACTTGAATCACTCGTAATCTTTTACTTTTTATATCAAATTTTTATCAAATTTAAATTTTATTGATCAGGCTTTGTAGCGGTTTTAATGTAGTTTCTGAATATGTAAATTTTATTTACTAAAAATAATCCGAGTGTGAGCAGGGATCGAGTTGCTTTATCGTCAGTCAAGCATCGTAAACCGAACGGGAAGTTAATTTTGGGACGGAGGGAGTATATATATATCTAAGAATGTATTGGGAGAAATAATCATCTACCTACATAATTGAACTTTAGCATTTGAAAGGAACACCGCAAAGATATCCACATGATATATTTCTACTTATGTTTTTGCAGCTGTACTGTGTTAATATAAAGACCCGAGACATGATTGTTGTGACTCAGCTCCACATAAAAACTTCTTGTTCGAAACACTTTGATAGTATTTATGCAAAAAAAGAACTGGAATCTATAGACCATCAATTGCTTCATAATGGTTGGGTTGATAATCTGTAATTTTTTGTCTTATGTCTCCTTGGGCATCTCTTTGGTGAGATCAGTTTATTATTACTATGTCTTCTCTTGGATGAATGAATTTCAAACATAGGAAGGCTCTATGTGCTAGAAAGAAATGTAAAAAAGATATATCTACCATTTCTTTGATCATCTTCTTGACCATTTTAAGAACTAGAAACAACTTGTTTTTTGAAAATATCGATACTTGTAAACAATGTCAATCGTTCTATTATGCGAACCTTCATATTTTGGACTTTGTTAATCCAATCAACTCAAAAATAGAGGAAGCACCTTCTTTGAGCGTAAATATCTCCTACTGTAGTTGTGTCCTAACACCTTCTTTGGTCACTCATTCTACATGGAATCTTTTCAGGATGCAGGTCAAAACATCAACACAACCAATTATTGTGTCCATCCCAATATGCCATTATGATGGTAAGCTTTCACTCGGTCTATTTTAAGTCAGTTCTTTATTTCCAACATCTCTCTTATTTTAGCCTTTTTTTTTGAAAGAATGTACGCATTATTTTATTGAAAGAAAGTTTGAGTACAGTGCAAGAAAAAAGGGAATACAAGAAATCAAACTAGAAAGAAAGAAAGAAGACAATAAAGATGGTCTTGAGATCGTATCTCCTTCAACTGTCCGTGTGTATGTGCACACACACATTTAGATTGATCAATGTTTGTTTTTTTGTGAAAAAGACTAAAATTGATGTACATTTTTTTAATACTCGGTTACTATTTTTATTAACCTTTTCCTTTGGTTGATACTGGATTTTATATGTTTGAACTTTTATGTCTTTAATATGTGTAGTGTCTCATATTTTTTACTTTGTGGTTTTCGAGAAGAAGCTATCCTCCCAATATGTGTGCGTCCACGTGTGTTGTTACATATAAATAGAATATGAAGTTTCATATTCTATTTCTGTTGAAAGAGTAAATAGAATATGAGTGTTTTGTTGGTTATAAACCTTTTCTTTTTGTCGATTGTATATTCTATATGTTCAAAACTTTCTCTTTTATATGCATAGTGTCTGAAATGTTTGTTTTCATGGATTTCAACTTTAGATGTCGAATCTGACAAATCGTCTCGGAAGCAGCTAGATGAAGCTATCCTCTCAACATTATTTGACTTGAATGTTCCTGCTGTTTGTGCCATTAACCAGGTCTTTTTTATGTAGTGGTTAAGTCATTTTTCTTTTACTTTATCTTTAAAAGGTGACCGTAAGCTACACATGGCCTTACTTGGGCAGTAAGCACACACATTTTTTTGCTGCACATTATTTTAGGGTGTGTCTTTATGATGTCATAAAAAAGGCCGCCCGGTGCATGAAGGCATCCTTGGGAGGGTCCAGGGAAGGGTCCCACCACAAGGGTGAATAAGGGGCTAGCCTCCCCTGTCAAATTATTGACAAGAGGCCGCTCCCAAGACTTGAACACGTGACCCCTCGGTCACTCGGCAACACCTTAACCGGTGCGCCAAGGCTCCCCTTCTTGTCTTGATGATGTATACCTTATTTTATTCTTTAGCAGTTGAAAAAGCATTAACCAAATGTAACATATCTTGGAAAACAAGGCAGCTCACCTTGCTGAGAAACATAGCTACATACTTTCACTGAAAATAATGATTGCAACCAATAGGGTATAATTTTGATAAGCTCTAGGTATTCTTTTTCTCATTTTGCATGTTCTAATTACACATCGTGTCTATTGTACATGTGCTGCTGAGAATCTTATTTTAAAACAATCACCGTCATGATTTGTTCCTTTTAAAATGTGTAGGCAGTTTTAGCTTTGTTTGCAGCAAGGCAGACATCGGGAATAGTTGTCAATATTGGTTTTCACCAGACGTCTGTTGTTCCAAGTAAGACAGGTCTTTTTAGATTTAAATATGCAGTGCATTATGTTGTTCCCTAATGTTTGGCATTTTTTCTGTTGCAGTTCTAAATGGTAAAATTATGCACAATGTTGGTGTGGAAACAATGGGAGTGGGAGCTTTAAAACTTACGAGTTTCCTCAAGGATCAGATGCAACAAAAGAACATATATTTTGGTTCACTCTACACTGTACGCACATTAAAGGAGGTAGTCCAATTTTTCTTCTCAATTATCACGTGGCCTTCCACCAGCTTGATAATACCCTACAAGATATAGATATTCCAAATCCTGGTATCAAATACCCCCCATATCACTTTTCTCCTTAAAGAATTTTTGGGATGAGTCTACATTGAATGGCATATTGTAATCTCCAGTATTGGTTGAATAAACTTCGTAGTTGAATTTTTTAAGTCGCTTGATATCTCTGTCAATGAATATTGTCATTTATTTTCTCAATGAACTTTTACCTAATTTGTTGAATGTTATTATTTCCTCTCTTTGGACTTACAGAACCTCTGCTATGTCACTCCTGATTATGAGGCCGAGCTATCCAAAGACACAACAGCCTCATTTCAAGTTCCGTCAGAAGGTGTATTTACACTTGATAAAGAGCGATTTCAAACAGGAGAAATTTTGTTCCAGCCTCGGATTGCAGGAATGTAAGTCCATATGCTATTTATTCTACAAATCATTTGGTAATGCTGGCTCTTTTTTCCTCTTCCTGATTTTCTATCATAGCTATGCTATTCATTTAAGAAGTACACTTTCATAGACACATACACGCCCTTGGCTGCAGGCGTGCCATGGGTTTACATCATGCTGTTGCATTGTGCATGGAACACTGTCAAGAAGCAGAACTTATTGCTGATGAAACCTGGTATAGAACTGTAGTCCTGGCTGGTGGTACTGCATGTTTGCATGGGCTAGCAGGTAAATAGAAGCTTCTTTAATTGGTTGTTCATTATATACCCTTTGGCATATATGAACCTCATAAGACTGATATAAGGAAAGCCAGAGATTACGTTTACAGAAATAAAGCATCAAGTTTTTAATTAAACTGCTTTTTTTGTACTGCCTCCCACCCTCCCCAGAAAGACTAGAGCAGGAACTTTGTGGTCTTCTTCCCCCATCCAAGTCATTTGGTGTCAAAGTACTTCCTCCCCCTCATGGTGTAGATTCTGCATGGTATGGAGGAAAGCTCATCAGCAATGTAAGCTACTGCACAGTGCATATTGTCTCATCTCTTATAATTCTGAAAAAATGCTTTTGAGTTCTTATATAATACTACATATGAAATCATCTGGCTTTAGTAATAAAAGAGAGATCTAGAGAGTTACTTGCTTCATTTTTTCGTGCAAGGCCATAATAAAACATACTACGTATAACAGACACTATTATATCAAGCACTTATAGGCATACTAAGGGAGGGCCAATCTGGGCCGTGGCGCGTCCTAAGTTTGAGAAATATTTTTTTATTCATGTGTTGGAAGTTATACTTTAAGAGTTTATATGAATAGTTTATTTTTTCTAATCACCCCACATTTTATTTTTCTGAGTCATGGCTATGGGTGTCACCGTGTTGGTAGTCCGTACTCTCATACTCCCTCCGGTTTTTAATAAATTTCACACTTTCCTTTTTGAGACGGTTTAAAATAAACTTCACACTTCCTTATTTCCTTTTTTGGCAAAGAAATCTACATCAAAACAGTGCCAAACAGTGCCAAACAGTGTCAAACAGTGCCTCAACAGTGTACTCTACAGTAAAGTCAAATTTCTTTCCTTATTTTGTGTGAAGTCAAACTGTGAAGATTAAAAAAAACCGGAGGTAGTATATTGTTTTAAAAGAAATACTTCGTATGAGATACTTGGGCCGGAGTATTATATTATCTGGATTATTATCCTAACTGTTCTGTTACTTATTTATCTTGTTCAAATGATCAAAGCCTTGAACACGAGTACTAGTTTTATGTGCCCATATATTTTGTAATGTCAGTGTTTGTTTTGTTTGCACAGTTGAGTACCTTTCCGTCTTCGTGGTGTGTGACAAAAAAGCAATTCCGCCAGAGGTCCAGACACAAACTCCTATGGTGAAAAGTAAAAACCTAGTGTATCCTTTTTTGGATGGAAACCTAGTGTACCCTGTGATCAGCGCTATCATAGTTTTTATACACAGTTCCTTGAGCAGTGCATTTTTCTCTCAATTTGGTGTACAAGGTGTGAATAAAACAAAAAAAAATACTCGTACGTAGTATATGCTTGTAATTTAACACATGCACAAAGCACTAGAAATTTATACTACATGTAATTCTTTTGTTTGGGGTACTTCCTACTATTTGTATTTGGGGTTTTCCCTGATATAGTGATATTGTTACTTTTTTTGTTTATCGTATACGGATACAGAATACAAATAAACAATATATATTGCAAGAAAGAAATTAAATAGTTATGATTTATGATACAACAAAAGCTGGATGTGGGGCAAACCCCTTTCAAGTCTCATCTGAATGGAGAGCTGGCAAGTGGCAAGTCTTGTATTTGAAAACACAGTTGTTGAATTGTAAAAGAAAAGAACATTATTATTTCAAGTTCAAACTCAAAACATCATTGGATCTGTAAAGAGGTCAGGAGACTCGGGACAAGAATGTTATTGAAGATTTTTTTGATGGTAAACTAAGAATCCCAATTAATCAATCAATTGCCAGTTGGCTTACAATACTATAAGGAGTTAAATTTATGTTTTGATTTTCATCCCTCTCGCCGCTGGTCTACTCCACCTTGAACTCTCCCCCTCGCATTTGTAACTTGCTGCCCGAACTCTATTATTGAGCATCACACCACCCTTGCTTTCCTTTTCTCACCTGCTTCATCTCTCCATTTCCATATGCTCCACAAAGTTCATCCCCTAATTCCACCTTGAACTCTCCTCACCTCACATTTGTAACTTGTTCCCCGAACCCAATTGTTGAGCATCACACCACCCTTTATACATGCTCTTAGCACACTCAAATACTCAATAATACCTGCTGCTCCTCTTCTCACCTGCTTCTAGACCTTATCATCTCTCCATTTCCATATGCTCCACAAACTCAACACTCACTTGCAACAGCCCGTATCATCCAACCCCTCCATACTTTCTTTCACCCACCCTTCAAAAGAGCCCGCTGCCCTGCTGAAACGAGCTCCTAGTTGTTGTCATACGGGTTAATGGGTTATTGAAGATAAACTAATGGACAAAAAGTGACATTTTTTAAATTTTCAAAAAATGAGACTAGAAACTAAAAAGGCTTAAGAGCATCCACTATGGGAGGTCATTGGGGATAAAAAAAATTGATCCCACTTGATCCCCACTATGGTAGGTCAAGAAAGTGATCGATCAAGGTGGAAGGTCTAGAATGGGATCTGACATTGTTGATGCTAACTGTGATTTTAGTCATTTTACAAGTGTATTTTTTTGAGTTTCCTCAACAAAAAAATGTATTTTTTTTTAAGTATTTGGTGATTAAATTGTCATTTAGGAGTGTTAATTGTTTTCTAAAATAGAAAACGAGAACCTTTAAGTGGGACGTCCAAAAAAGGAAAATGAGAACCTTTAAATGAGACGGAGGGAGTATATTTTATTTGTGAATAGCCTGCTCACAGACAAATCATGTTTTGTTTGTGAACAGACTATTCACAAACAAAAAGAAGGTACTCACAGAGTCGCAGACACGTGTAAGATGATTTGTACAAAGAAGTGTGTACTAATAATTTTTTCATTTTTGAAAGCTTTTAATTTTTAAGGCAACCGTGTTGGAGCTACAAGAGAAAGAATGATTTAAAAGTAATAGGAATACAGTAAAGGAAAAAGTGGGCTCATATTTATAGTGTAGTGCTGTGTGCTCTGATATAACACTCCATAGAAGTAAATTTATCAAACAGAAAGTCATGTATCTTAGAGTTATGATTGAACATGCAAATACATTTTTCAAAATCTCTAAACTGTAGAAAAATATTTGTCATTTGTGATTTGTCTTGAGTTTAATGCACCAAACCTCCATGTGAAATATAAATTTGATAAATTTTAAATCATTTATCTTAATAAGATTGAATATGCAAGTAGCTTTGTTAAGATGTCTAAATTATACAAAAATGCTAATCATATTTCATTTATTTGGCAATTAAATTTGTACATAGAGAGAATTTCACTAATGAATAACTATAACACAGAGCGGTTTGAAGCCCCATTATTTAAATCACATGCAGGTAATGAGTCAAATATCTACTAGCATATTATAAGGGAGTTTAGTGCATATTATGCATTAAATCCCCCCTTTTTATTACGTACAATAGGCTATCCGTCATCATCATCATTTTCATTTACCCCAGTGCCGCAACGGCTCCCATCTACGGTGGGGTAAGGGGGGGTCGGATGTACGCAGTCTTACCTCTGTACTAAAGCACAGAGAGACTGTTTCCAGATGACCCATAGTGAAAATCGCGTCCAAAATTGCATGGGTTGACTGCTACTTCATAACAAATAAGCGCAGACAGTTTAATGAGCCATTTTGTTTTATTCCATCATATTCTCAAGCCAAAAAATAATGAATTTTTGGCTCCATTGCAAATGATGGAAATCACAATAGGTTATCCGTCAAACTATAAAAAAGCCAATCCCACCAATAGGTTATCCGGTAAATTGTTAATGTTGCTGCACATGTGGCTCTCCGACCAAACAATGTCTCTTTCATCGTGTACAAACTAGCGCAGACAAGATTTATTGACAAGAATCATGAATATCTCCGGTAGTCAATCTATTTCCATCTGAGAATCGATGTGAGCAAGAATTTTGAGATATGTTGGGTTAATCCTGCTGCTATACCTCTTTAATTACCAAGCACAAGCAATCATTCACCAGGAAGTATAGCCTAATGGCTTCCGACCTTAGCGGATAAGAGTAGTATCATCTTATAGGTATCAGATCAAGCCTCTAATAGTGTAATTATAGAGACTTGTGTGTAATTACTAATTACTCTTAATATTATTATTATAAATACAATCTAGGGCTCCATGGTATCAGAGACCTACGATTTTTCAAACCCTAGCAAACATGTCGACTTCCGCAGCCACGTCGATTACCGCAGCCACCTCCACGGTGCCCGTCTCGACGGCGCAGCCAACCTCCAGCGGTACTGAGTACCGCAATATGGTAGGTGCATTACCATACTTGACTGTTACTCGACCTGATATTACTTATGCCGTACATTTGGTTTCCCAATTTATGCATGCTTCAAGTACTACTCACCTTGCTGCTATCAAGAGAATTTACAGATATTTGCAGGGAACCATGTCACACGGCCTCTGGCTTCGAACCGGACAAAGCATTTCTGTAATTGTGGCGTATTCAGATGCTGATTGGGCCAGATGTCCAGATTCGTGTCGCTCCACTACGGGCTACGCCATGTTCATTGGAGGTAATCCTGTCTCGTGGAGATCCAAAAATCAGCCCACCGAATCCAAATCTTCTACAGAGACCGAATACAGAGCATTTGCATATACAGTCCAGGACACATTGTTTATTCAGTCATTGCTCGTCGATATGGGTATACAGATCACCGCACCAGTTCAGCTTTTTTGTGACAATGTGTCAACCTCTTACCTTGCAGTTAATCCTATTCAACATGACCGCAACAAGCACATCAAGATTGATTACCATTTTGTTCGGGAACGTGTTGCACATGGGGACTTGGTCGTGAAATAAGTTCCTACTCAGTACCAGTTTGCTGACATTTTAACTAAGAATTTATCTAGTCAGTGTTTTGAGTTTTTACTTTCCAATCTGCACGTGTTTTCCCATGCACAGATTGAGGGAGTGTAATAGTGTAATTATAAGGACTTGTGTGTAATTACTCTTAATATTATTATTATAAATACAATGCTAGGGCTCCCTGACGGGTTAAGCCATTATTCCACAATTATTCTCTCACAGCCTCTCCTCCATCCCAACATCCCAATATTTGGATGCCAATGTGTCAACGACTACTCCCCTCTCTCGCGCATTATTCTAGCCTCGGTTGGGAGAGGGGAGGAATTGCAGCGGCGTACAGGGCTGTGGCCAAGAATTTGTCTCAAGGTGCCGTGGCTAACCTTCAAATGGCATTCCCTTAGATGCACTGGTGCAGCTGCGTACTAGTTCACTTCCATGGCCCTTCAGATGCACACCCTCGGTATTAAGATCCAAAAAGATATTGATTGTAGCCACATGAACATCCACATCATGTATTTACGAGATAACCGGTTGGTGGTAGAGTCCGCTTGATAGCACTAAAATCGGCTGAATTGATTGATTCTGCTGAAATTAATGAAGTTGTGGCTGAAGAGCTGATTCTGCTGATATATGAAAAAATTATATTTAAAATATTTGTCATTACTAAATAAAATAAAGAATTATATGAAAATAGCTAAAATAATCATATACAGTAACTTCAACCAATACAGTCAGAAAAGTAACCCCGGCCTTACTTTTTTATTATAACACAGTTCTGCGCGCGAAATCAAAAGTTCGGTGAAAAACTAGCTGACAAGCCTGATAAGCTAAAAAGGAGGTCACCAAACGAGCTCTAAAATGGACTGTTTTTCAGTAATTAAGAGGCTAATTAGTTTAATTGATAGTATGGGGACTCAATTGTTTTTTCTTCTTATAATACATGAACATATTTGACAGTTTTTACAAAAAGGTGAATACAAATGTGATTGTCACATTTTCAGTTTAGACCCTGGTTTAATGCAAAGTTGTGCAAACACCGAGTGAACCAGAAATTGAAAAGGTGTGGTTAATATTAGTTTTGATGAATGAGAAACCATATTAACCGCATCACGTTTTCTTCAAAAGGAAATAAAAATAATTTTGGTCGAACGAAAATAGGAATGAATGAAAATAAGACAGGCAACAATTATTAATTTAGAAAAAAGAAAGTTTAAAAGGGGTAACACAGTTCTGCGCGAGAAATCAAAAGTTCGGTGAAAAACTAGCTGACAAGCCTGATAAGCTAAAAAGGAGGTCACCAAACGGGCTCTAAAATGGACTATTTTTCAGTAATTAAGGGGCTAATTAGTTTAATTGATAGTATGGGGACTCAATTGTTTTTTCTTCTTATAATACATGAACATATTTTGTTTTTTTTTTCTTATAATACATGAACATATTTGACAGTTTTTCCAAAAAGGTGAATACAAATGTGATTGTCACATTTTCAGTTTAGACCCTGGTTTAATGCAAAGTTGTGCAAACACCGAGTGAACCAGAAATTGAAAAGGTGTGGTTAATATTAGTTTTGATGAATGAGAAACCATATTAACCGCATCACGTTTTCTTCAAAAGGAAATAAAAATAATTTTGGTCGAACGAAAATAGGAATGAATGAAAATAAGACAGGCAACAATTATTAATTTAGAAAAAAGAAAGTTTAATAAAAGGGGGTAAACGGAATCAACCATACAAAATTGACTCAGAAACTTCCTTTTTCTTTTTTATAGGCTATATATATAGACGCATTGGGCATATTCTTCTACTCTCTTCTCATATGAGGGAGAGTGTAACTTTACATATGGGGTCCAAGCGGCAACCTACTCATGACTTGTTGATAGGCTGATGAGTTATTAGAGAGATTCAGGACATGGTCAGAGACGGGCTCTACCTTCGGCTCTCCCTTCGGGAGCATGAAGCTGCTCATGCCATGCATTGGGCGTTGTTGTCCAAGATATGGATTAATCTGAAGACCAGGAAATCCACTCATTGCCATGTTGCTTAAACCTTGAGGGTTCATCCCAAAACCAAAACCTGGGGTACTGGCTAGTTGTGTCCTCCCAGGCAGCCCAAATGAAAGTGGCGCTTCAAACCTGGGAACAGTGCCGTGATGTTCTGAAGGGTCAGGACTGTGAAAATGGGTTCGGGCAGGAGGATTTAATACTGCAGAATTAACATGACTGTTGTTTCGTGCAGCAGGAACATCATGGTTGTGCTTTCCTTCATAGGTGGTGATCACCGACTTCAGATCATGAGAAGCCCTCTCCACATGTTTCCTGACATTGCAACCAGCACTTGTGCATTTGTAGTAACTTCTGTAAAATGGGAGGGGAGTAAAGAAAAATAGTCAGCCAAAAAGATTTTACTTTTCAGATTTCGATCCATAAATGAGAACATAGAGTGGGAGAACTTTTGACAACCTTGGATTTGGGTTCCCTTTGACAACCTTCTGACCATACTTGCGCCAGCGATAACCATCGTCAAGTATGTCAACCTCACTGGTAGTCTGCACCACCACCCTCGGCTCTCTGATGGCTCTCGTTGCACCAGTCATGTCTGCCGGATAAATCTCAAGCTTCCTAGATAATCAGGGATATTAATAAAAAAAATCAGGGTACTAAATATGGGGAGAACTGTTGTTATTTCGATGAAGTTAACTCATAACTATTAGTCCAACCTTGTGTTTTCAAAAGGCAATTAGTCACCCCTTCAGCTTTGATTATTCTCGCACCCCCCACAAATATATATCTCATTTGACTATATTTTAACTAAGGGTTCACTATTGAAAGTCAAAACATTTATCCATCAACGTAGTAAGCCGTGGCTGCCCTTCTCATTATTCCTTCTTCTCTGCTACTCCGGAAACAATGTCTTGAGAGTAGGAGAGGCGGAATGAGGAAGTTGTGAACAGAAAGTTGTGAGAATCATTATGGTTCAAAGAGTAACTAATTGACTTTTGAAAACACAAAGTTAGATTAGTCATTATGACATAACCTCAAGGGCAATGATAATTATCCCTTAAGTATGTCAGGATGTATATTTGTTTGGAATCTAAGTCATAGAATCTGATGGATATAACACTAGAAACCTTCTCTTTGACTCGGACTCGTCCCCTTCACCCTCGTAGGCTCCTAGTGACACACTTCCATGTGTTCCACGATCATCATCGTCTTCCTCATTTGAAAAAGTAGAGGACATGTCCACTGGTTCACCTGATTCAAACTGTGCACCAGTTTGGGCCACTACACTGCAGTATTCTGAGCCCACAGGTGCAGAGGTTGTTACCTCAAGATTGTCATTCCTCCAACTACAAGTATCACTATCACCTTCGTTTCCAGCTTGTTTGGTTCCACTTTCTATTTGCATATCACTGATTCCATTTGTGGGTCCAGGTAGAGATTTTGTACTAGGTTTTGGGTGATTGTGGGCCCCCTTGTATATTATCTCTGTAATATGACCCTCAAGAGAGCGCTCCACTTTCTTCTTGACCGTGCAGTTTGAATGCGTGCACTTGTAGTAACTCCGTGGATACTCACTTCCTTTGACTTGCTTTTGCCCATATTTTCTCCAGTTATAGCCATCCTCAGCTGGGGAACCACCAAGACTACTGGAATCTCCAACTCCTTTTTCATCAGCATCCTCATCAAGAGGTGGAGAATTATGCTGTTGAAATGTTCCATTCTGTGGATAAACTTGAGCAGTCTCTACATTGGGAGGGACGTGAGACCTTTCTGATTGGATTGAACTCTGAACACAGAGAGAGGACTGATGTATTGAACCGGATGGAGGAACCTGCAAGCAATGTAACAAATTAGGGAGAGTTTAAGGGTGGATTGGACGGAGGGATGCTAAGAGAAAGGTTACTTTGTTTAATGTGCCAGGAAAGAGGTAAGTGCCAGTTGGAACGACTTGCTTGAAAGCAAAGGTAGACAAATTATTGTTGTCGAAAGAGAACTCTTTGCTTTTATCAGAAGCCTCCCTGCACAACAATGAATTCTGAATGTCACCTGACAAGGGAAATGGAAATTTCCCCGTTGTTGGAGATGGCTGTACCTGCCAAAAAAATAAAAATAAAAGAATCACAACGAAGCATATTCCAGCCCGCATTTTGAATACAATGGGAAGTGATAAAAGTCAAGATTGAGCTTGGTAACTCAACGCGGCCATAAGACACATGGAACCACACTAAAAGATCAAATCAATATACTCTGTATTATGTAGTTTAGCTCCAGGTCTTATCAGCCTATTTATCTCTTTAATTTGCCAATGTGGGTTCTAGCAGAAAGTACTCAAGCAAGACATATAGTGTTAGGAATTTGAAAATTTTATTTTCATATACTACAACAACATTCCAGTCTTAGTCCCAAAACAGTTTGGGATCTGCTTAGATGAATCGACATAGGAGATCGGAGCTAAAAAAGATAAGAAAGATAAAAAAAGATAAGAATGATAAAAATAAGATAACATACAAAAGATAAAAAAAGATAAAGATAAAGATAAATATGATAAGATAGAAAGGATAAAAGAATATAAGATAAAAAAGATACAAAGATAAAGATCATACGAAATATAAAAAGGTAAAAAGATAAAGAACATAAGAAAGAAAAAAGATAAAATGATTAAAAAAATGAAAAGAAATTAATCCTTCACACGAATATGAAGTGTAGCGTGCCCTTGCACATTTGACACCAACCCATGTGAAAGGATGTCGAGTCGCCTACGGGCGACGACCTAGCTGTAGTGATATTCATATTTCGATTCATGTTGGAAAAAAAGGCATATCCTGTGCACATTGGCGTCCTCACAAGGCAAGGGTCTGGGACACTTTCCTGGACCCTCATCTTGTCAGGACGCCAATGTGCCCTTTTTTTACTTGGAACTTAAAAGCACAAGACATCTTTTGGTACAATGGAATGAGAAGACCAATATGCTGCTATGAAACGAGTTGCTTAGATATTCACTTTAGTTAAACTTTACAGATTAGGGTTTGATCATTTAAACTGGAAGCAGAAAAATTCTCTAGAAAAGTAATGAAGAAAAGCAGTAAACACTAGACAAAGATTATGGACTATAGCTACACAATAGAATTAAGGATTAGCTTTTTTGAGCTCAAACCACATTAAAAGCTCAAATCCAATCATTAGCTAGTTCAACCCAAACAATTATTAGCCCATCATTCTTTCTTTGATTTTCTGATGTGAGATTCTAACAATTATTAACACTTACCAGTGAATTTGAAACAAAAACAGGGGAATCTAGCAGGGTTGTTGGACTGAGACCAGGAGGAATTGTCAAGTAAGGAGACCGAACTGCTTGGTTCTGTGAAAGGTCAGCAGCTGCTCGAATGTCTTTTGTGTTTAGCCTTGGGGCATTGAATCCAGCCCTAGCAGCTATCCTTTCCAAGAGACCTCCACTGCAACTCACTTTCTGATCAGAGAAAGAACTCAACATAGCTGCTTCATTACTAATTTGGGCAGAACTTTTCACATCGCCATATTTTGATAAAGCATACCCTTCAGGCTCTGAATCACGAGCCCCAGATTTACTCTCCCTTGTATGCTCAGCAGCTGGCCTTGACCCAAGATC